TATTCATTAATGAGTGTAATTGAGTATTAAATTATACATGATTTTAATTGTTTGAAAACAATGATGTATATTATAGTGTACATGTATATTTACTACATATATTTTTTCACTTTTATGCATACGAATTAAATTGAGCAATTTTAAATTCTATTTCCTATTATTTAAATCATATTAATGAATTTAAAGTTGGTTATTATACTTAATAAAATAAATTAAATTTATGTATATCTGATATTATAAAAGCAGTCAAGTTGAGAAACTGGTTAAATTCCAATGTGTGATCTCTGAACATTTGGGATTGCCCCGAGGATTAAATATGTATTTATTCCACGTGCAAATAATATTCGATCTTACGTACTTTAATCGATCGAGCGACAACCTGATAACACATATCATGTTCTACTAAGCTGTGTAGAATGTTAATTGATTTGAGGGCAAGACACAAATACGAGCAGCATACTACTTTAATTGTCGGGAGGGAACGACTAGGTAATACCTTGTGCCCACCCATAAATGAATATGTATTTATATAAGTAAAAATATTTTACTATATTTTTTTTATAATATTTAAAAAGTATATAATATTTAATACATTTTCTTTTAGTATTTTTCTCATTTTAAAAGATTGTGTTTTTGCCATTCTTTCCATAAACCCACATACCTTCTATACACATCCAGACACATAACCAGAGGGTATATTAAGTACTGAATTTATTGCCAACTAACTGAGTCGAGTCAATTGCAGATTTAAACATGCAAATATTAAAATTACAACCATTTAACTCGCTGGCAAAAAGTTCAAATAATAATCATTTGCAAGCTTACGCAAACAATGCGAATTCATAAAATGAGTATGCTGAATATGAAACGAGTGTAATTACGAGTATCGAGCGTGAATGTTATGATTGTGATTGTATGTTTTAATATAATTATGGTCACGCCTTTGAAGCCATTATGCCACGATGCCACAATTTGCATGCAACAATTGTTGAATATGCCCCATTACACGCATTTTAATATTGCAGCCACAAATGCAGCGCAAATAGTAAAACGGTATTTCGGTTATGAATTTGCACAAAATAATTAAATGCTCATTTTAATAAACCCGCCTAGCCAGAGCATTGCTTGACTATTAAATACTTTACAAATAACACAAATATAATTTTCAATATTGTGTGTCACTGAGTTTTTGGTAAGACTTCTAAGGATATTTGAAACTTTAATTAATCACAAAATGCAGATTTTGAGATTTTACAAACAAAAGAAGCACTCTAATAATAATATAAGTAAAAATAATAATAATAACAATAAAATTAATAACAACTTATTTGACTAATTATTCCAGAGAAAAAAAAAACATTTAACTGCCATTGAAAGCGTTTCAGCTTAATAATAAAATTAATATTAGACATAAAATCAGTGACATGCCTTTAGAAGCGATTCACTTTATAATTAAATATAACAGTTCAATTTGCCTTATTTTCTACCCATCCAAGTCATTACAGATTGTTAATACAATAAGTTCTTCATGCTCAGTTTAGTGCTCAATAAAATTAACACATCGAAAATTGTGCGTGAAATTGGCAATTTTAAATAAATAAATGCACGCAATTAAATGTAAATGATATATATATAAATATATATATATATATCTGATTTCACCCGAGGGGACTTTAAGCACATGATTTTAAACGACCATATATTAGAAAATTTAAAAGCTCGTGCAGCACATTAACTGATTATATTCGTAATAAAAATCATTTGCCAGGCAATTATTACAAATGCAGTTAAAAGAAATACTTCAGCGAATTTGAATTGCCATTCAAAGGAATTTACAAAAATAAGTAGCTGCAAAAATAAAAGTACGTCGCCTCGTTTCTTGTTTGCTATCGCTACAATTTGCACTATTTTGTTATTGTTTTGAATACATGTATTTCTTCTGCCCTCACAGCAGGCCTTATGCCTTGCTCACAGCGTGTGTAACATATTGTTTGTGCATAGGTTCTTGATCAGAACTGCAAGCTGAGTTGATAAATTGTTCTTTCACGTTCATGAATCTTTATATTACATAGTTGAGTGGTTGACTTCAGTTTGCTCAAGATCACAATAAACAATTGAAATTGGCATGTAAACAAGCGTATTTATTCTTCGGATAGCAGCTCTTCTTTCACTGTTGTTGTTATTGTTTCTAATTCATTTCCGATAGTGAAAACACTGACGGTGTGCTCGATGTGCCTAGGGTATGTGTCTGGACGGCCCCGTTGCGCTGTTTCAGTATATTTAATTTTTTGCGGCGTCTTCACATCAGATACAGATACAGTAAACACAAACACACTCTCACCCACACACAGACTCAGAAATACAGAGACAGAAAGCGACGACAGCTCAGTCAGTAGTCGGTAGTCAGCTGTGTTCGGGCTCTTTGCTTGGCATTGCTTGTTTTGCGCCTTGTGCTACCTGCCCCTGTCCAGATACAGAGCAGATACAGATACAGATACTTGTACTTAGACCGCAGCTGTAGGCGCTGCAGCTGCGTCGCTGGCAGCGCAGTCGGCGGCAAGTTAACGTTAACGTTAACAACAACTTTTTGCATTTAACTTGCCCGTAATTGCTGCACGCTACGGAACAGTTTTTAATTGTTGTTAACAAGCGCGGGCGTTCGGTTCAAACTGTAAAATAAAAAATAAATAAACAACTATATTGAGAATTTAAAATAATAATAAACGAAATTACGAGTTCGCCGCGAGTTGTTCAAATTCGAAAACAAATTTGTTAATAGGGGTCATGTTAGGGTCGTGAAATTTGTATTGCTTTTATATTGAAATCACTTATGCAAATTAATTGTTGCCGGCCTAGCAATGAAATTGGCGCCAAAACAACAGAATTTGTTTGTTATATGTGCGGACAACGCAGTATTAAAACAAAATGTAAGCAAATTCGACATAAAATCACAAATTTATAAAATACTTATAGTGTCATATACTTATGGATTATTTAGTAATTCATAAATATTTGATATAAATCAATGGTGTGCAATCGTTTCCTGCTTTCCCATTTCGCGTGCTGTTTCATTGCTCCGTTTTCCATTCATTTGTTTTGTATTATTTATTTCTTTATAAATTATACCCAATGAAACTGTTTTTGTGCTTTAACAATGCTGAGAATAAGCTCCAAGAATACAAACCGACTAGTTGAAATTGAATTGCAAAATTAGTGTGCAATTAATGTTTTTATATCATTTCAAAAATATGAAATGTTATCGATCAAGTTACAGGTGCAATATTTTAAATTGATTTTATCGAATGGAAAGCAAGTTGAGCACAATAATTTTAAGTGAAAATTGTGAAAATTTAATATCTTTGGAGTGCACTTTGCATAATCTGTGGCATTTACATTTTAAGATATAATTTGCTTGCAGCAATATTTGCTGTATCTCAAATATGACAATCCTTTATAAGTAATGCCTGATAAAATTGTTTTTTGCCAATATAATTCATAAGTTCAATTGCTTTTATTCAACAGAAAGCAAATTGATAAAAGAAATTTAAAAGATAAATACAAATTTATGTTGAAGCAGTGAAAAACTTGAATATGTTAGGAATGCAATTTTAAGCTCATTTACTTATATCTTTTTATTTGAGGTGCACTTCAATTAACTGTAATATTGGGTTCATCTAAACTGTGATCATCAAATCACGTGCTCTGTTTGCTTTGTAAGCTACAAACTATGGCAATGGGTGTTTTTCCGAGGCCTGCAATTCAACTTTTCTGTTTCTGTTGTTTAGTTTGCAAGTCAAGCGTTTTGAAATTTTCCACTAGATTATTTACGCACCATTAATTAATTACACCCTTTATGGCCTGTATTATAAAAACAAATTATAACTACATTTAGCTGGGAGGACAGAGACAATAATAATAAATGCAAGTCTCTTAATGAGTGACAACTCATTCATTTTTTATGAGCTGCAATTGAAACCAATTTGGAAAAGATATGTTAGACGAGTTGACGACTCGCTTGTAGAAAATATATAAAAAATGGTATAAATAAAAAATATGAATTAAACGAACACCTATTGTAATACGTATTTATACTTCAGGCAATTAATATATGAAAACTAGTTTATAAAATACGGCGCAAAAGTGTTGATCAAGAGCTAAATATATATTTTATAAATATTGTTTTAATTATTTTAAATCAATTTAAAAAAATATTTTAACATATTTAACGTACAATACAATACCAAACATTCAATTTATATTCTGAGAAATGTAATTTCAGTTTTTATTAATTTATTGCAACATTTAAATTTGTAAAAAAATATTGAAATGCCTGAAAATTAATTTACTTTAATTTCTTAAGATTCAAATATATCATTGTTATTAATTTCAGGCATTGAGCCATGCAAGATTATTATATACATATATAGTTCCAGCTACTGCTAACAAATATTTTAAATATATTATTTTCATTTCATTTTTAGTTTAAGCCAGATTTTAAACTTCATTAAAAAATCAAATTAATATTAACTTCTATTTGTATATTTGTTTATTATTTACAAACATTAAACATGTTATAAAAACCAAAGCTTTCAAAGTTCCCAACTTCTATTCATATTTGGTTGGTAATATTTCATAACAGACATTAAGCACCTTATAAAAATCAGATTAAAAGCTTATCACTTATATATCATATTTAATAAGTTAAACACTAAGCTTTCAATACTTTACGTACGAGTATATGTATTGCCCAGTTGTCTCAAATTGTGCTGCACCTTGACAATGCACGTGTGTCCTCAGTGAGTCTTGGCATGTAGCTGACAATTGTTAAGTCAAATAGGAGAGAGATTTTAATGATGCATTCTCATGGGAGAGGACCGTAAATGAAACAGAGCAAAGCACAAGCACGACCTAAACTAAGTAACACGATTCTCCATGATTTTATAGCATTGAAAAATCAACTTTGCAAATCAATAAAGTCACATATATATGTATATTTTGTAGACTGTGATTGATGTTTTGTGAGTGAGTGTGGTACAGCTACGGAGAGATACGAGCCCGAGATATGAATACCGAGTCCAATACTTTATTTAGAAACGTTTATTGCTAAGATAAATCCACAAAGGAGTTTAATAGCCACTATCAATATTTGTACAACAAATAAGCAACGAGAGCAACCGAGGCACAATGCTAACCGGAGTGCGAGTACACGGTATCTATAAGATACAGCCGCAATCGCAGCCACAACAGCCGCAGCAGATGCGTATGGCGAATTAACACAAACGCGTTAACACAATTAGTTGAAAAGTGAAAAATCTCATACACATAAAATACGAAACGAATCAGCAAAAAAACAAAAATAAAACACTGTTAACTAAATAATAAATAATAAAAAAAAATACGCTGTGAGGCTGTCGACAAAAAGCGCCACAGCAAATTTGCAACTTTACACTCGTCGGCGGTTTTCAGTCGCGAAATGAAGCAACAGCCTCCGAGCTGAACCACAGAACGCGTGTGCCACCACCTACAGAAAACTATTAGCAACAACGACAACAACTATTAAAATAAAATAACAAAAAAAAAACACATACAACAAGTGACCTTAATCGTTTCGAGTGCCTACAAAATGGTCGAATTATTCAAGGCTCTCAATTTGACGGGTAACATTCTAGCGGGTCTAGAAGATAAAAGCCTCGAGAATGCCCCAATTGTCACGGAGCCCAGCATCAATGCCACGGCTATGAATGTTACTATAGCAACAACATCGTTGGCCAATGCCACCAACAGTGCCGAGAAAATTCAATTGGATGGCTTCGATCTGCCCAGCAACTATTCGGTATTAATCAATAAGCTGGAGCAGCTGGCTCTTGGCCTGGACTCGGCGCTGGGCAACTTCACCATCGATCGCCAGGAGGTCGAGATCAATTTGAGTGGCAGCGCCTCAGCCACCGATGTCGCCGATGTAGCCGACGACCTGCTCTTCAGCGATGTCATACCCGCGGCACGTGCCCCGCCCCCCCACATAGCGCACGGCTCGCGGATTTACACCGGCAACGATGATGATTTCCATGTGGTCAGCGATATTTGGATTGGGGTCATTCTCACGCTGCTTATCGTCTTTGTGATATTCTTCATATGCGCCTGTTTCCTGTATCACAAGTTTCAACAGTGGAAGAATTCATGTGAGTGCCTCGCGTATACTTGATTATTCTATTTAGCAACATTACGTATACGCAATGTGGAAGCAACTTTGATATGATTGAAGATTTTTCTTAACGCGGTTGGTTTTCAAATAAGCCAGTTTAACATACTCTGGCAAGTCGCACATTTCTCTTACATTCCAAATTTTGCATTCTTAATTTATGCTTTATCGATTTGTCAAATCTGCCAGCATTGGAATAATAACATGCAATTTATTGTCTTAAGCTAGCTTGAATAAATGCATTGAGAGCGTTTAATTGATATGCACATAATGATTTTATTGACATAGGGACTTGAACACATGCTCATATATGTTGAAGTCAAAGTCAACATCGATTTTGGATTACCTCGACCAGCAAAAAATTTCCACCTTCACCATAAAACAGCATGGATTGTATAACAAGTGGTAAGGAAGCAATGAAATTAGTATAATAAATATACTGGTAATTCAACTTTCTTTAATGCAGTTTATAGATATGCCCTTTCCATTTTTAATTAGCAAGTATTTAAATGAATGCCAGAAGGCAGTTGCCAATTTAAAGTAGCTGCATAAAATCAACAATCTGACTCATAAAGAGAGCAATCAGTTTAAGATCTAAATGTGCTCTTTATGAGTACTTTTTGTACACAGATGAGTTTATCAATAGCTCATGGGTGATTCAGCTTAAGAGTTGAGGCACTTAAACAATTTCAGTGCCAGTCAGTTTAAAGGAGAGCAGGGTATTTGGGCAACAACAAATAACACACTCAAACAAATAAACAAAATACCAGAGCAAAGTCTGCGGGCAAAAAGTTAGGAGCCAAATTCAACTAAAACCGAAAGCAACACTCAAAGTGACTGACGAAGATGATCATGGGAATGAAGCTGATGATGATGATGACGATAATGACTGTCGAAGAATGACTCAGAATTAGACACGGCAGCAAAACTAATTCAAATAATTTGAAATTTTAGCGCTATTTATTTGGACTGCGAGCAGCAAGCAGTGAAAATCGAGTCTTGTGACTTGAGTACATATTAAAGCGTAGAGAATAGAATTTCACAAATATTTCACAGCTTGATAAATAAACAAATTTGCTTTCTGTCTGTTTATTTGTCTTGCCAATTGCCAAATAATTGTGGGCATTGAAAACAGAAACAGAAACAGAAGTTGTTACCAGGCACTCAGGCTACCATCATAATTTGTCTCTGGCCATGTTCTAATTATAAATTATAAGGCAATTAGCTGATAAATTCGAAGCTGCAATGATTAAACCCATACACACAGACACACTCACCCACACACTCTCACAGCGAGGGAGCAGATAACCAAATGCATTTGGCTCTCATCTGTTTCGTTGGCAGAGTCGACCCTTTGGGATTGCCTTTTGTTTGCCAGCCAAAAGCAAACATAACATTTCCAGTTAATTAAGGCTTCAGTCAAGTGGCCCATTTTCAGTAACAAGACACTAAGACATCAAGACTCCAAAACTCGAGTGTTGTTTGCCCAGTTCTGGGCTCGATTACACTGCAGATTTGTGTTTATTAATTAAGATTGCTTTGTTCTACTACCGACAAAAGAATCGTCTTCGCAATTGTTCGTTTGTTTATTTGCGTATGGCCAAGAGCCAAGTCCGTGGGCTACTTTCGTTTTGATTAGCCAGCATTTGATTTGGGCCTTGATCGAGATGCAACGCATCAAATGCAGACAACACTCCAAAGCTCAAGTGCAAAGGGGGCCATATCAAGTGTTTGCATCAAGTCAATGAACGATATCTATTTGAATGGACACGATAACGGCACTATGCAATTTAGGCCATTCTATATGCATTACAAAAGATATTCCAAAATTACGGTATTCCTATTGTTTAAATGGAAACACGAAAAATGCATTGTTTGAATAGAAATACGAGAAATGTATTTTTTTGTCAATGAACAAGATTTTTTAGCAGAGCCAACATAGCAATAAGCTTGCCAGACATAACACGATGTATTAAGAATTCGAATTCAAAGCATATTCGAAAAGTAAAATATGTTTGGCTGTTAATATAAAATTATGAATTATGTATTCTACTTTATACTCTACCTACTTTTCATCTATATTTATTGAATATATGGTCGAGATAGTATATTAGTATATTTACTTATTTATTTTATAAGTATTTTGTCAACTGAGAAAGGGCAAAATAGACATTTAAAATCAGCAAAGAGTTAAAACTCTTGCTTAATAATTTGCTCCGAAAGTAGAAAATATAAATAGTAAATAGTGGTAATTTCTAGAGAACAAGCTCCAGCAATACATGTGCATCATCAATCACACTTCTGAATACTTTCTGCTAACTTGAAAGCTTGAAACATGGCTGGACTTACCCAAGAGACAAAACAAATCAAATAAACATTTTGGGCGTTGGCAGCGATAAAATTCAAAGGCTGATATATAGCACGAAATCCACTTAGCACTTCTCTGATATTTGCCAGTGCTGAATCTTAGCTATATTTAAATATATTACTAGGTTGTGAAATAAATATAGTCATTGAACCATTTAGAATTCGGCCTTTGTTGATATTGTTATGCAAATATTTAATATTTTGTTGATTCCTGTTGTTAATTATGTGTTATTGCCGCTTCGAGAAAATTCACTTAAATATGCCATAAAATAAATACTCTTACACACATATAATTTATCATTAATAATAATTCATCAAATAGTAATTTGTATTTTTCAAATAGTTACATATCCTAAAAAAAAAATTTATGACAGCAATTTCGAGGATTGAATATGCTTTCGTCAGTAGATTGTTTACTATTGTTGAGGCTTTGGATTTAATAAAATATGCACACAGTAATAATCTTCTCTTAATATAAGACATAACAATAAAGTGTAGTAGTAAATTTGACAATGCTAAAATTATCAGCAAGTACGTCACAAACAATCATCAGCTGCACAGAAGTTTCATTAAAATTACTTTAAGACTGTAAAATTGTATACACTTTATTATTTTGTATTTTTTCGGCATACACGTGACGAGTTTAACATAACCTCTTACAGAGTATAAGTATATACAGATATACGACAAATATAGCAGCGTCACTTATACGCAACGTTGTACGCATTGTCTCCGATGTTACAGTGCGTATGAGTGACATTTTTCGGTTCACGGCTGTTTAATTTCGTTTTAATGAGTTGTTTATCTTTGTGGGAGTTGTTGTTGTTGCCCTTCTTGTTTGGTTGTTTGCTGCGGGCGTCGTATCGTTGTTTATTATTATTTTTTTTATCAACTGATTTGGTTTCGTTTTTATTGCAGCTGCTTTTTTGATAGTTTTATTTTGTTATTTTTAAGCTTAACTGTTTAAACAAGCGCTGAAGAATAAATGTTTAATGAATGTTTAAGCTGTAAAGTCCAATCAAAAATTCACAACTGAAATGAAATAAATTAAATCATATTAATATTTTAAATTTTTTATATCCTTAATAAATATGTTAATTTAATAAAGTCTCCCATTATTGTATATAGTATTTACTCAGGTATTTTTTTCTCAAATACCACAATATCTGTATATTAAATGTATCTGTTTAAAATGCGATATTCGGACTTAAATCATTAAGGAGTTTTTCTGAGCACTCTTGTGTGGCATATGTGCAAAATGAATCCCCTCGAAATTCAGTTGATAAACTTTTGCGTCGCTTATCCTCCCGCACCTCAATTAAGTTCGAGTGGTTGGCAAATAAAGCTGCGAATTGTTAATTAAATTAGGCATTGATTAAATTTGCACGTTATTAATAAAGCGTCAATTGCAATGGCAATGCTATATTAATATTCATCATCACAAGCAACAACGTCATCATTGTCATATGGGTATTAAATGTGAATTTCACTTGCCCGAAACCCCCTCTTTAGCTTTTAGCTCCTCTAAGCTGCTTTGACGTCAATTCATTTATTTCATTCTATATAAATAAAACGTTTTTCGCAGCTTGCAACACTTTTAAGCGGATTATATAGAATAGTAAATATATAAATGTATATATATCTATAAATATCTACTATATATACAAATATACACACATGTATTCATATATATTCAGGAACATACACACACATGCTAAAATTATTTGTTATTTTCCCCAATTTGTTGCTTTATTGAATCAAACGCAAAATTCGCAAAAATATGCTAAATGAATAAAAACCCAACCAAAACGCAAGAGCAGCGCGAAACGGCGTGGCAGACAGCGGGGGCAACACGCACAACGTAAGAGCGCTTAGTAAATGCCAAATTAGCAACAGTAACTAAAATTGAGTTTGCCTTTTGCTAATACCCCGTAACAGGCCCAATAACTAAACAGCGAACGTGGCTCACACAAAAACAGTCAGCTTGGCTAACCGAAGTCGACATGATGCTTCAGCTCATAAGCCACAAAACGTGTTGGATTTGTTTCAATGGTGCTAATTGCTTAATTGAAACTGTTTTTCCATTGCATTTACTGTTAGCTAACCACTCCACCACCCGCCACCAACCCCCACACGGCCCTATCACAAGGTTTTTGGGCACACCGCCCCCGTTGTGCCGTTCATAGCCAAATGTCAATTAGTATTTGTCCGCTAAAAGCCAAAAAATCGACAATACCCAAAATTAGTTGCTTTCATTACAAACACACACTCGAACACACCATGCCAAACCCCACCAGTATGCAAATATCACGCTGCCGTATACGTAATATACATTTTGATTAGCATTACGCATCCGCCACGTTGCGCATTGGATATTTAAATTGCATGGTTAAAAAAAACTGTTCCATTTTAATTGCGAATTTGTAAATCTGCATGATTTGCTGCAGTCCAGCCCAGCCCATCATCATCATAATTGGTCGAGGGGCAGTTACAGCATATTTCAATAATTGAAGCGCGCTATATTTTTAATTAGTTAAATGCACGTTTAATTAGCTTTATAAATTATGCACATGCAGCGGTTAGTTGCAAGCTCTGCCATTTTTTTTAAATATTATTTACTCTGCAGAGCCAAGTTAATGTCGCTTTTTTTTTTTTTTGACTCTCTGCTGACTTTGGAGTTTACTTTTCCATAATTTATGAATGTTTGTTAAACAGACAGTCGGACTGGCATGATGGTCTTCCAGTTATGATTTATTTATGAATTGGGCATATTTTTTTATCAGTCTGTTTATTAGTTTATTCGCCTGTTTGTTTGTTTATCTTTTCGCTGTCACCGGAAATGAACTGCGATTTTTATTTATTAATCACTTTATGATTTATGGATAAATAATTGCAATGCTTTCTGGTACGCGAATGAGCTGTCAGCAGTGGTTTTAAATTGCGTTACCTGCAACCAGAGGAAGCAAGAATGAAAGCCAGACAGAATTTACATGAGGCAATATTAACCAGCGTGTTAAATGAAATAAGCTAAAGCGAAATGTTTAATTTTTTATTGATCGTTACTATAAAATGATGTGCAAGTTGTACGAGTCGTAATTCACTTCCTTACTAAATAATCAATCAACTATTTTTGACTGATCGTTTTCACATAAATCATACGCACCGTTACCAATTCAAATACTTTCAAAACATATTGCGCGCGCACAATAGTGTTGTAAAGCGACACACAGCTGACACTCTCTTTTAGACAGCTGCCCAAGCGGCTCACATTGTGAACGGAGCGCGGAGAGCGCACACTAAACAAAACAAAACAAAACAAAATGCGACGCGCAATTAACACTCACACTCTCTCACGCAACACAGAACTAATAGCAGACGCTACCAGACAACAACAACGGCAACAACAATAAGCAAACATGTTCCACAGTTTGACGACGCCGCATGTTAACGACCGCACAAAGAATGCAGCAGCAAGCAGCAGCGCAGCAGGCAGCACGCAGAACATCGAGCAGAGCGCGCAGAAGAGCAACGCGACTTGGCAAGCAAACAAGCCATCAGGCAGACAGAGAGAGAGACAGAGAGCAAAAGAGAGCACAACAGAACCAGAGCGCATTTGCACAAAGAGACACAGAGAGAGACAGAGAGGTAAAGAGCGAAAGAACTTGCTTGCTAGTGAATTGTATTGGCGACAAAAGCCAAGCGTCGCTGTTGTCGACATCTCCGTCTCCGTCTCCGTCTCTACCGCTGTCGCCGTCATCGCCGCTGCGTGTGGCTTTTATGGCTAGTTTTAAAATTAACCACAGCTGCAAAAGCAAAAAGCAAAAAGCAAAAAAAATATATATATATGAAGAGGCAGACAAAGTCGCAGACTGAAACGAAATTCAATTAAAAGGGAACAGCATAAAAGTGTGAAAATGCTGACACAGTCCAAAAAAAAAAGGGCTGCGGCTGTGGCTGAGACTGCGGCTTTAGGCAGCGATCAGCACAGACACGTACACATACACACACACACAAACACACAAACACACACACACACACACATAGAGCAGCAGCAGTGCTGCTGGCGTTGCCTTTGTTGACTGTACAACGGGGCGTATACTCGTTTTTTTCGGCTTGCGTGCTTTCTACAGCCGTCAGCCAAATAATATGTATACGTTGGTACATTTTTTTTTTAATCATATTTGTTGTTATTGTGTTTCGGTTTTGCTGCGCGCTTTTTACGCTTTCTACACGAACAGCACTAGCAACAGTAACAACAAAAATAACAACAACAACAACGGCAGCAAAACTCGCCACACTTAATTTGCATATTTTTGTACAATAAAAATCGCTGTATGTTTGCCACTGTGTGTATGTGTGTGTGTGTGTGTGTATGCTCTTGTCTGCCTGTTAGCTGTCAGGTTTACTATCTTTTTGGCCATTGTGCCTCACACACACACACACATACACACACACACACGTAAGGCAGACATTTGTTGTGGCAGCACCACGTCGTATGCGTAATATTGCATCGCCAGCGCATGCAGCAACCAAAATATTGTGTTTTTGTTCTGCTGTTGGCCCATTTTCTTTTTGTTCTTCTTGCTTTTTCTGCTTAGCGAGGTTTTTTAGTTTTCGCTGATTTTTAATACAATAAGAGTAGATTTCATGCTTTTGTTTCTCGCTCGCTTTTGTTTACAAACGATATGATGTCTAAAAAAAAAAAAAAAATACATTTATATATATATATATATATATATAAATGCATGCATGTACAAATATATATATATATATATATATATATATGTATGCAGTTATATATGAATATGTAGCAAAGTAAATTGTCATTGCGAAGCTCTGATGATAATAAAGCAAAGACTGCGAATTAATGCACACTAGTCAATAAATGAACACTCAAATCGAATGAAGAATAAACTATTGGGAACTGTATAAATGCTCCATAAAACCAAATTATTTGCATTTTATTTGTTATTATTCAAGCGATAAATATTTTGGCTAAGTGCAACGCCTCCAAAATTTGCATAGGACATAAAAGTCATTTGAATTATTCACTGAGACATAAAAGAAATCAAAATACACTTTATTTAAGCGTCTTGCTACTTTGAATAAGACTTTTCTTTTTATTTTAGCAGAGCTTGAATCTGATTCCAATTCGTTTGCTGATTCCGAACCAGATCCTTTCTCTCTCTCTCTCTCTGTCTCTGTCTCTCTGTCTGTGCCACCCCTTTTAATCGCACATATTTGACTGTACAAGGACCAAAGACTACCCCATTTAGGAAATGACAAATAACCTTGAGTTTTGCACTCTCGCAGTATGCACACCCACCCCCCTTTCGCTGATCCCAGAATCGAAGCCAGCAACTGAAAAATGTACAAAGGGCCTGGCAGCAGCAGCAACTGAAGCAACAACCACAGCAACAGCAGCTGCTGCTTGGACGGCCATCAGCACAATAAAACTAAAGGCCAAAAGAGGTACAAGATACTAAGAAACACACCCCAAATTTGCACAGTGTCATTTGGTGGTTGTGGCAAGGGTTGATTGGTTGGCAGCAACAGCAATAATTGCATGCAGAAATTGTTAAGAATAATAATCAATGTATTTCCATTGGACTGTTTGTATATGTTGTAAGTAATATTTTTATGTGTGTATAAATGCTCGTTGTCTTAAATTACAAATGATACTTTTGTTCAAAGTTCGCTGACTTTTTGCGTGTCTTGTCTTTTCCCTTAACTTATGATTCGAGAGAATTGATCAATATAAAAATATATATATATATCTTTTTCAATGAGTTGCTAAAAAAAAAGAACTTTATGCTTAACATGTATGTATAGTTTATAGTAAGCAGTGTTCAAATGATTTAGGTATGCATCGAGTTCTTATAAATTATATGTATATGGATAAATGATTGTGTATAACTAGCTTTAATTTGGAATTGGAGTATGTGTAATGTTTAAAAGAGTTTACACATTGCGTAAATTGCATTATTCATGACTGGCAATTCAGTTGCTTTATGTTATTTTTCATCAAATTACAAAATATTCTGCGCATATATCAAATATAATTCCAATAAATTGAATTTTGTTTGTGTAAATACAAAATACGAAAACGTAAAATTGTTTGTTTGTTTTATCTTCTTTTTTTTAATCCAAGTCGGTTGCCATGAATTTTGTCAGACAATATGTAGAAAAATTCACAGCAATTCAAGTTGAATGGTTTTGTTTTGTTTTGTTTTTTTAGTTCTTGAGCATTTCAATTCAAGCATTTTGCAATTCATATCGTACTTAAAATATTTCACAATATTTCATTTATTATTTGACTCTGTGTCCATATTATGTGTATAAATATAAACTCTTTGCAGTCTCTTGTTTTTTTCTCTTTTGTTTTGTTTTTTGATTTTTGTTTTTGTTTTTTGTTTCTTTCGTACAATTAATGCTTTTAAAACGTAGTCTTTTCTGTTCGTTAAATGGTAAATTAAATGCGAAATAAAGTGTTTTGTCTTGGCTGGTTCATCTTCTTCATCTATCGCTTCTTAGTGTGTTCATCCTCGTAAAAATAAGTTTTGTATACATATGAAGAATACTTAATCCCTGCAAAATTGAAAAGCTTATAAAGAAAGTGAAATCGTCTCCAAGTCTGCGCGAGGTGTCCAAACTAAACTAGAAAGTTTTCAAGTACAGTTTGCATCTTAATGCTAATGAGTAAGATTTGTGGATTGGATTGGATTGGATTGGATTTGATGCTGATAAGTCTTTAGATTTCCGCCTGTTGCCCAACAACGGTGAAGTAGCTGGTTATCTTGCGATTGGCCTTCGTCTTGCCATTGCCGGATGCGGCGTCCACTGCTGAACCGCTGGACAGCGCATTCTCCTTCTCCGGGGTGATCTCCTCATCGTCGTCCCCCTTCGCCGGCTCCACGTGCATCGAGACTGTAACCGACACCTGCGCCACAGTGCCAGCGCCTGCATCTGCTGCGGACAGTTCCGTTATGGTGTGCTTCTCCTCCTCAACAGCTGCCGGCGTTGCTGGCGCTGACTCCTCGGCGATGTCGGTGAGCGTACTGAGGCTACGCTTCAGCTCATTCAGCAGCTTCTCCTGCGCGGCAATCTTCTCCTGCAGCTTCTCGCGACGCGGACGACGCGCTGCAGGCTTCGCTGGCGCCGGCTGCTTCGATTGCGGCACTATAGTTAAGTCGCCGCCATGTTCGCGCTGCTGATGCCGTTGCAAGTTGACACGGGAGGAGTAGCCACGCTGACAGGCAGTGCAGATAAACGGCTTCTCACCTTAAAAGGAATCCCAAGTCAATGACGAGGTGCATTTAACGGATAGCTAGAGATTGACTCACCCGTGTGCCGTCGCATGTGGACACGCATATCGATTTTGCGGGAGAAACGCTTGTCGCACATCTCGCACTGGATGGGCTTGTCGCCGAGATGCGTGCGCCGATGCACGATGAGATTCTGGCGGGCACGGAACGCCTTGCCGCACAGGTCACAGCTGTACGGCTTCTCGCCGGTATGGACGCGCACGTGTATGGCCAGATCGGAGCTGCGCACGAATCCCTTGCCACACCGATCGCACTTGTAGCGACGATCGTTCTTGTGATGCCGCATATGCAGCGTCATGTCCTGTTTGGTGGCCAGCGGCAGACCGCACAGCTCGCACTTGAATGCCTTCTCGGTGCGATGGCGCATCTGGTGCTCCACCATGCGCATCTTCAGGCGGAACGCCCGTCCGCACTGGCCACACACATGCGGCTTCTCGCCGGTGTGGAGACGCAGATGATCCTGCAGTCGGGAGAAACGCTGAAAGGGTTTGCTGCAAAAGTTGCACGTGTGCTGGCCGCTGCTGCTGCTGCCGTTGCCGTTGCCATTGCCATTGCGCTGCGATTCCTCGGAGGATTCACGCTTGATGGAGGAGGCAGCCGCAAGGCTGTCATCTGTGGAGCTATTTTGTGGCGTTGTGCACTCGGCCTCCGTGTCCTTATCTTCTTCGTCGTCGTCATCGTCATCATCCTCATCTTTCACATCGACCACGTAGTCCACAAAGTTGCGTGCTTTGCGCACGCGTCTCGGCTCTGTTTCCTCCTTGATTTCCTGCTTTTCCTCCAGCTTATCTTGCTTCGCGTGCTGCTCCTTCTTCTGCTCCTCCACTTGCTCCTCCTTCTCCTTCCCCCCTTCGATTGGCTTCTGTGCTTTGCGTGCTCGTTTGCGTTTGCCATTTTGACTCGCCTGCTGCTCTTGCTTTGCCTGCTCCAGCTGCTGCTCCTGCTTTGGTTTCTGCTCCTTCGTCTTGCGCGTGCGTCCTCCACGCTTACCCACTGGCAGCTTGATAACCATCTTCTTGACCTTGGGACTACGCTCGGCTGTTATTTCCGCCACCATAGCACTAATCATTGCGAGATCATCTTTATCCGCCGTCTCCTTCTCCGGCGGCGGCGTCTCTGGCAGCTCGACTGCCGGCACCGGCATTGACTTACTGCTGGCCCCATCACATGGTATGCTGACCATGGGTTCGCTGGGCTCCCGCTTGGGCACCAGCAGCTTACAGATGCCATGCTGCTCGCTGAGATGCGCCTGCAGCTGCTTGCCTTGCTCAAATTGTGCATCGCAAGTGGAGCACAACAGCTGTTGCTGTTCCCTCTCTCCCTGATCCTGATCCTGATCCTCATCCTCGTCCGCACTGCGCCTCAGCAACAAAAGTTGCGCACAGCATTTCATGTCACTCAGTTTGAGGCCCTCACTCAGCTCGATAGGTGGCTCCAGTTTAACTGACGTTTGCCTCATCCGTGACTGGTGCTCCTCGTGCCAGTGGTGGGCGAGCGCCTGAGCATCGCCATAGAGCAGGGAGCACTCAACGCAACTGTAAATCAGACGATGCGTTTTCTCATCCGCATATATTTTGGCAGCAACAATCGATGAGGGAGCGGGGGCGCAGATGGGAGCGGGCGGAACAGCGGCAGCAACGCTTGCGCAGCTGCTCTTTGAGTATTTGCGTTTGTTTTTGTTTCGCTGGTTCTGGTTCTGGTTCTGGTTCTGATTCTGATTTTTGTTGTTGTTTTTGTTTGTGCTGCCCGGCGGACGCCCACGCGGTTTGCGCGACGCCGTCGTCACTTTACCGTTACTGACCTGCGTCTCTGCTGCGGCGGCGGCGGCGGCTGCTTTAATATCATCCAGGCGTATGCGTTGCGCCTCCAACTCAGCCTCGTCCTCACTGTCGATCTGCAGCACAACCTCATCATCATCATCATCATCATCGGCATCTGCATCGTGAACCTCTTCGATATCCAGTTCGGATTCAGAATCCTCATCGGATTCGTCCGTATCGTCGACTGCGCAGCGCAGCGACGCAGCTGCGACGGCGGCTAATCCATTATGCCGAGTCTTTTTCGCTGCTGCTGCGCTGTTTTTGCCGCTGCTGCTGCTGCTGCTGAATCTAAGCATTTTCGGCAACGGCACATTTGTCATTTTTAGCATGTCAATAATACGAACAATTATTTTGTTTGTAGTTTTATTGTTTATAAATTCCACTTCTTTCCTATGTATTTTTTTTTTGTGTTTTTTGTTCGTTTAAATAAATATATAATTATTATAGCTTCAAGAGCAGAGCAAAACGCGCACCACTGAAGCTACTATAACAAAACTAAATCCACTGACGCCGCTGGCAGATTTTTTGTTGAACGCTCTTGCTACCTCTTTTTCTCTTTTTCTCTCTCTCTCACGCTCTCTCGCTCTGACGCTCTGTTGCTCTCTGAGTCTCTTTTGTTCTTTGAGCGCACATTATGACGTTTGAGTGAACTTGGTTCACTGAATCGTGCTGCCAGATAATAAATAACAAATGTGATCATTATTGCCAGACCGAATATCTTGATAATTTGAAACAAGGTGGCAGCACTGTAACTTTATTAAAGCTGATGCGCTGTTAAGTGCACTGATCGACTGCGCAGCACTGTTAACCTATGTAGTTTTATGAACATATCGATTTTTTTATAGCAAAAAAACTTAACGAAATTTACGACTCAAAGTGTTTGGCGATAATCTAACGTAAATGTAAACATATTCAAAGGCGCTGCTGCAGCTGCTGCTAATGCCGTTTTGATAGATATTTGACTTTTACCCAAGCATATTTGGCAGCCAGGCCAAAAACATTTTACTTATGCGACTCACGCTCACAATTGGCACGTTTTAAGTGTTTGCCGCCACTGCATCTTTCACCGTTATTTTTCTTCTTGTTTTTATGCGCACTGTTTGCGACTTCCTGGACTTTTTGCGCTGCTTCGTGGTTAACCGTTATGCCCCCCACACAGATCAAACACACACACATACATAAATATTAGCACAGCCTATTGTGTTTTGTTTGGTTTTTTGTTTTTCTTTTTCTTTTTTTATCAAGCACAAATTGTGTGTACATTGTTTGGCCACATTTCGTTACGCCGGGCAGCATGTGCAAAAGTCAATTTGAAAATTGCGGCAATGCCAGCCGCATCAGTGCCCGGCCCCCTCTCCCACTCCTTCCCTTCCCAATACTAAACAGTCTGTTGCTGTTGGAGCTGCCTGGCAACTCTGGTACTTTGTGGTCCACTTTTCATTGCGCTGCCGCAGCCGCCATCGACGCCGCCGCACGCACATAAACAACATTCAGCCCGACCCCGAGCCCCCTTCCCCCACGATGCCCTCCTCGCACCCGCATTGGCAAGTTGTTTATATTGTTTTTAATAACATTTAACGCTGTGGCAACATGTGCGCTGTGCACTGCATAAATTACTCTAACTGCCTATGCGGCATTTGACTCAAATAATGTTAAATGGACAACTAAAAAAAACTACGCGTAACAGACAAGCAATAAATATCCCAATAGTTCTGGGAGTTCGATTTAGAAATCAAAAATACATTGCATGAATTATATTTAAACTGCACTTTTTTGGGCTTCAACATTAATATGAAAATACTTGAAATAAAATTTTAAAAAATGCAATTCAAATTTCCTTTTCACAAATAAATTAAATATAATAATAATCAAGTAAATAAACTAAAGTTTAAATATTAAGAAAAATAAATATTATATTTCAAGTGATAATTGATAAATATTTATTTTATTTTTTGAGATTACATTTTAAATTGTAAATGTATAAATAAAGAAAAGTATAAATATTTAGATCAACAGATATTATTTTTCAGTTAGCAATTAGCAAATGCGTTAAAGTATAATAATTGAATTTTTGTTTAAAATATAAAAAATTACATCTGCCATATTGAAAATTATGCAATACAATAACTTAACCAAAGTAAGATTAGCAAATATTATTTTCCAATACATAATTAACACATTAGTGAAAGAACAATAACTTCAAAATTAGTTGTTATAGAATAAAACAACATGATAAACCCAGCACTTAAAAGATTACCACAAATAAATAATGAAATAAATAAATACTTAATTAGCTGAGATATCATCAGCAATGTCAACCTTAATATTTCAAAAGTTACCTGTACCTGAAGTTGGCAGACAGAAAACATAAAGCTAAATATTTGGTCATTGTTATCGTAAAGTTGAATTAAGTTTTTCGGTTAGGTTTTTGGACATTTCGTGAATTGCTCATTTTTCTAGTGAGACAAAAGCAAAATGCGGGCGTCGAACAGGCGGCGGCTTCTGGCCAAAAGTGAAATAAAGGCACGGGAAATGAAATATTTGCGAACAAATAGACACACTTATTACATTTTCATCCTGGCTGCTGCTGCTGTTGCTGCTGTTGCTGCTGCTGCTGCTGCTGCTTCCTGTCCCCTTTGTTAATGTTGTTGTTGAATGCTTTTGGCGCGTGTTCGCTGCTGCGGCAATGTCTTCATGTTGTCTGTCTGTTCTCGTCCTTTTTATTGTTGTTGTGCCTTTAACTGACATGCCGCAATTTTTCTTCATTCCCCATTCCCCCACACGCCCCGTGCGTCGGTGGCGTGCCCCAACATGTCTGAGATGGATGGGTTACTTTCCTAATAGTTTAGCAGTTAGTTAAAATGAGCTACGCAAACTAACGGGAATGTCGCCACACAACTAGCCAGCGAAATGAGCAAATCTACAAAGGAAAGCCAATGAAAATTTAAGCAAGACACTAAAAAAATGTAATAAAAAGTTTCTTCGAATTGTTATCCTAATTTTCAATGGCTTTGTATCTCTTATCTTTTATTTTTTTCTTTTTTATATAAAGCTAACTTATAGTCTAAAACCTTAAGCTGAATCATATTAAAGCGCAATAGCTGAAAAGGCCTTCAACTCGTTAAGAGTTTACAAATTTACATTTTGAACGCGAGTAAAGTTTAATATTTCATTTTATTTAGCTGCTAGTTGCTTTTTTAACAAATCTAAAATGAGATTAAACTTCTCGCTGGTGGGCTCTGAAAGCTGGATAGCTTAATATCTTAAATTCTTATTCAAGGAAATTTGTTGTGTATCTTTTGATTTTATGCATTCTGGAATACTTAATTTTTAGTAAACCCCATAAAATTTCTTTAAAACAAAAACGAAAAGTATCACATATATTTCACAATAATTATACAAGTTATAAATCATATTTATTCAAGCGAATTATGTGGATTTCGCTGTGCTACATCTAGAATTCTTGGCAGCGCATACAAAAGGCCCAAAAAAAAAAAAAAACTGAAACCATCCTTTCGCATGTCTTGTTGGCCATGCCAACATGTTCATAATCATTTTTCTTGTTTCCACAATGCCGCAGCAAAAGAAAAACATTGCAATTTTCTCACAGCATACGTTTAGGAGTAGACCAGTGTGTTTGAAAGGTTGTTGTAATTTTGACAAAAAATATTTGCATGTACACATGTACCTTGAACAAGTTTAATTAGTTAAGAGAGAAGTGCCCCGCCCACCGCCACCGCCACCGCTCATTTCCCCGTTGCAAGCGAAACCTTGGCAGACGCATAAAGCTTGGGGCTTCAAGCGTTTGACATGGTTCAGACTCCACGGGGAGGTATAGTTTGCAGTTAACGCCTACCGGATAATCCTCCAGACATTGTCTCGACAGCCACAACTTCAAATATACAAAGTTGGGCCAGTGGATGGGTAAAACGGGGATCAAGGTATTCTCGAAGTAGCTGTTCTGGTGGGCAACTAACACTAGTCACAATAATGCTTCAAGGACGCCTTGGCCCCAGTCGGGCGCACACATTGGGGAGAAATTTAAACGGCAATTTGGTGCCGTGTTTACCAACCCCAAGGACAAAGGACAAGCAAAGAGCACCAGCAGCAGCATCCAAAACTCTGTGGCTTCTGGAGTTTTTACTTTTAGCGGGTGGGGGCGGGAGGCCGGGCCATCAACTGCTTACGTGCCTGGCAAGCATCACCAGAGAACCGGAGAGGGAGACTGCTTCCCCATATATCCCCTCAATGTGTCTGTTGTTATTCTTGCTTACTCGCCTGCCAGCCATCGGCATATAGACTACATAGCCATGTTGTCCTGGGCACATCATTTTCTTTGTTATTTTTTTTTTTTTGTTGAGCTGCGTCGTTTGTTTTCTTTTTTGCTTCGGTTTTGCGGTGGTTTTGGCGCCCAAATCCACATACACAAAAGGAGGGAAGAGCAGCGAACACTAACGCTTAGCCCCACCGAACATAAAGTGTGTTTAACTTTTTCGTGAACGCCCAAATATCTTTGGCCTGCCTTAGGTTATGCTTTTTGCTTCTGGTTGTTAGCTCCCTGCTGCTTGTTGTCCTTAGGTTTTTTTTTTTTTTTTTTTGGGTGGGATCGCATCTCCATGACCTTTAGCATATTGACTAGTGAGGTTATTTGGTGTCCATTTTGCTTTTGGCTTATAACTTGCGGCGCATACTTTATGCACAACGCACTTACACTTTGTGCCTTTTCTCGCATTTTTTGTATTTTCTTTTTTTTATATTGCGCGTTTCATTCTTTTTACTGCTGCACTTCATTTTATTGTGGTGCTAAGCTGCGCTTGGGGAATTGAAATGCGTATATCCTTGGGGCTTATGGCGACAGACAGTTCATCAAATGAAGCTCTTAAGTGACATGCCCCACAGCTCATAACTTGATATTTGATAGAGCTTTAACGTTGGCCACGTTGGCCACTCTGCCACAATTTTATATGACACTTTATTTATTTTATACAAAATTAAAAATTAAATTAAATTGTGATGTGTTTGCAAATCAAACAAAATAATTCAAAACATTTCATTAACATGCCAACAATATATTTAGTTGTAAAACAAAAGTTTTTCTTGTCTTTCGTAAAATCTTAAAAACTTATTATAATATTATTTAATTAAGATTTCTTAAAAAACATAGTAGACTATTTTGAAAAAATAAACTAAACAAATATAATGAAATATTGCTGCAAATGTGTAAAGTGTGGATAGTTGGGATCAATGTCTTAAACATATGTCAATCAATATTAAAAATTCTGCAAAAGAATCGATAGATCACAGAGAAAGAGAGAGGGAGTGAAAAGAGTCGATAGTTATGGAAAAATAAAATGTGACACGTGCTGCCAACCCGTCAACAAATCAAGATAAAAGTCAAGTCCTTTCAGCGCAATTAACAAAAGTCAATTGAAAATTACACAAAATGGCTTGAGCTCTGCTGAGCTGTTGCCACAACAGAACAGCTTAACCAAGTCTGAATGGGCACTCCATATGGTTAAGCAACCAACCCTCTCCACCTCCCATCATGGACTCCCCATAACATACACAAATGACAATGAGTTTCCATTTTGTCGGTTGCTTCGGTGTCCTGTGTTGGATCATCAATTTAATTTTGTGAGCTTACAAAGCGTTGCATAAAAAATGAACGTCCATTCATGTGGGTGTGAAAACGCTCCCGGTTACAGCCGCCAGCGCCAGCGCCAGCTTTTAAATTTCCACCCGCTGCCCACACACCCACACACACACACAGACACACAGAAGGGTGTGAAACGAAGCGTGCGCCATTTTCGTGTGTTTTTTAAAGCCACGCAGCATGCGGCTAATCTTCAAAATCGTGTAGCACGTCTCTAAACGCTTGCCGCATCAACAGTTTCTATCTATCTCACTAGTGGGAGGGCGGCCTTCATGCTGACTCACCTCAAGCGAGAGATTGGGGAGGGGCAGGACATTGGGTATTTTCCCCCGAAACAACAGGGCAATTGCAATAAAAAATGTTGTTGCCTACTTTTAAGGGTTGGACGCAGCTTGCACATTTCCGCCAGCGGCAGTTTTAGTAGCTTACTACAAAACGTTGCGACATTTAAACATAAAAATTTCATTAATGCACAGCCCAACCCCCCAGCAAAAAGAATACGTGAAACTAAAGCTTCCAGTGGCTGTGTAAAAGGTGGGGAGTTGGATCGTCCCAAAGGTACTACAGAATTGATTTGGTAATTTGGATTGCTCTTATGCCCTTATGCCCTTGCCATCGAGTATTACAGCTGGGCACATGTGTCTGCCGTTTGTCAGGCCAGCTAGCGAGGCTGCTTTGATGAACTTTACAATATTAGGCAGTAAAATATGCTCCAAAATAAATAAATCTAAATATATGTAACTCCAATCGATTGAATTTTTCTGTGAAAAAAACATTTATTTTTCTAATATACAAAAATATACAATTTTAATTCTTCTGCACATTTTGTTCAGCGTTGGAATTCGAAATATTTCGGAGTATACAAAAAATGAAACAACAACGTAAAACATATTTAAATTATACAATACGTAATGAATAATTACAATTTTTTTTAATTACTTGACTGAACTTTCTATTTAAAATGTACACAATGAGTTTTGTATTGAAACCATGCTTGTCTTTTGAGATATTTAGACAAAAGCCAAGTCAATTGCAAGATTTATCTTGACCTGACTACATAAATACCTGTATCGAATTTATACTACATATCTGCAAGGGTAGTTTTAGTTCGATACCCGAAAAAGTTCTCTCATGTTTCTTTTGCCGCTTTTTATTTTTACTTGCTGAGCGGATGTTGAGAGTTCAAATCGGGGAATTGCTGTTGGGTTCATTTATAATTGATAGAATTCGTTTAAATCAATTACGAATGTCTGTTTGTCTGCTTTCAGATCGTGCCAATCATAGCGATGCCAGCATCGAAATCTGCCGCCACTGTCCGCCTGAATATGAGGTGGAGTCACTGCCCTCCTATACGATTGTCTCCGGCCTGCCCACCTATGACGATGCACTCGAGGAGTTCCGCAAGGCGGGCATCATACTTCGTCCCGCCCTAGTGCCCGTCATCAAGATATTTGAGAACGCCAACAATGAAGCAGGTGGCGTCAAGGAGCCCTCTGTCGCCTACAGCCTGGTGGAGACCTCATCCAGTTCCGCCAGCGATGCCAATGCGGACACTATTTCCCTGACATCCATCACATGCAATTGTGGTGGCTCCTCGCCGACTGGGACGCTGCCAAGTTACAGTGCCGCAACGGCAGCGGCGATGACTGCCACTGCGGCAGCTGGCAATCCGCTCAACTCGCAGGTGATCGAGTTGTCGCCGGATCATCTGGCCTCGCTCTCCCAGAAGCGTCTCTCGCTGCAGATCTCATTCAACAACTCGCTGCGGTGCCGGTCACGCTCCAATATGCGCAATCATTTGCTGCGCTCACGCGCCGTGGGGAACTCCGCCGTCCTGGGTCCTATAGAGACAACATTGGCCGCCGCCTCGGTGGTCACAGCACCAGCAGCAACTGGGCATATCCTGCCGCACATACATCGATCCTCGTCAACGGTATCGCTGTCCAATGAGCGCCAGTTGCTGGATCAACGCTTGAGACATTTGCATCATCGCGGCTCCTTGTACTGAGAAGGAGCCTGAGGAGCCTCTGTCCTCAACTTTCAACTACTTAACACTTAGTTCTTAGCGACAACAAAACAAACTGATTTATCTAATTAATAAAGTGCTTATGAAAATGTTAAAATTCCAAATACTTAAATTTCTTTAAATTTCTAAATTAAAATTCTAGTTGAATAAAAGCATTTGATGGGGTCAAATTGGGTACTTAAAAAAGTCTTTGAAGATTTTAAGATATAGAAAGTAATCACAAACTGTAAAATATGACAAATCTTGGGCTTTCTTTCTTAGGTTTAAACTATGAAAACTTGCAACATTATTGGGTTTTCAGTAAAACTGATCTTTTCATGAGGATACCTCTGCAGCAGTGGCGATATTTAATGTAGAAATAGAAACACTTCCAAATAAAGAAAATATTAACAACAATCACAGCACTAACACCGGAATAATAAATTGCTTTATAAATATACTTGTGCAGACTTGCCATTTTGCATGTTAGACCCAGTCTACTCAGGACTCTCTTCACTCTCAACGATAGGAGTTGGAGGACTTATAAGGTGTTCTATCAATCATAATTACCTTTCCTAAGAATAGCTACATACATTCAATATACGATCATATTGTTAAACAGGCTTGAAGACAGAATATGTTGCATATGTTAAGAAACACGGTGTTAATTGTTTGAATTATAATATCTATTTCCCAATATGCCTTATAGACAAACATTCTTAGCAGCTGTAATGAGTAAGTTTTTATTCTTTATATAAACACGTATATCAATTACTTGTTTAGGTCATGTCCTGTTCATTTTGCGCTTTTGCGGAGACGTCTCCGCCAATGCTGTACAAACTTTACGACAAAATTAGTATGTTGAGGAATAGGAGCAGACAGACTCTAGTCGTCTAGTCGTCCAGACCAATTATTTTTATATCTGCATATATACTTTATGGGTTGGCAATATTATAATACACTCTGCACAGAGCATTATTAGAATAAGCTGAAATTCAATCTCGTCTTGTCATAAATTGAATTCGTAAGTTTTGCTCATTTAGTTTCACCAAAATATATTCGTCAAAATAAACGTATTTTGAGCAGACAAGAAGACCAAACTTTGGGTTGGCATTTGCTATGGCAACGATTTGCTTTGCGTTGCGTTGTTTATTGGACGCCGAAGGCTTTTATGAGTCTTCGCCAGAGTTTCTCGTGAGCAGCGATGAGCGGCACAACACGGAGCGGATTGGTGCCCACACCGAAGCGGCATATCAAATATGTCAAGAAGGTAAATAGAAAATAACATTTCTCTAGCAGTTCAGTTAAGTTAAGTTAAACTAATACATGTGGCTGCCCTGCAGCGGAAGAACCTTCATGCGGATGATTCGCGTATGCCGTTGAAATTTGAGGCCTTGCCGATGCCTCTGTCGCTGCGTCCATTTGGTGGGCTGTTCAATCCGTTTGCCAAAGGCTGCTCGGTGCTGTGCAACCATCCGGCGCCGTCAGCTGTCAAGGATGTCATAAACCAGCTGAAAACATCACTAGCCATTGAGGGCAAAGGTCCCTTGCAGGCAACTAAGGAGAAGTCACTTGAGGAGAAACTGCAGCCGCATGAGGCGGACAACATACCAGAGGATCTGTTCAGACGCTACGCGGAGACCGATTCCCGACCCATGACGCCGACACCAACTGTGACCAGTATCCATACGCGAAACAGTGCGGGCTCCTTTTATAGGCGCTGCATTACGCCAGAGTGGGGCAAGCATGAGAACATTCAGCGGAAGAAGATTATATTGGATCTGCGGCGCTCGCACTCACAGGAAACGCTCTACTGGAAGCCCAGCTCGGAGCTAACCCAAAGCGGCATCGAGGAGGGCAAGAAACCCAAGAGCGCCGGTGCAAATGAGGAGAAGAAGCCCCGACGACAGCCGTCCAGTGAGCAGCGACCCAAATCCTCGCTGGCCACAGCCACTCTGACGACTGGCGGTGATCAACACATCGACCTGGAGCCCAAGCCGCCGAAGACGTGCATCAATGAGCACGAGATAAGCGACGAGGATGCGAGACGGGGCAAAAGGCGCAAGAAACTAAAACCCACACAGGGTTCGTACAGAATATTATCTAAAGAAGAATTTTACAGTCTACAAACAAATTTAGAAAGGTTTTATTGAATATTCGGCTCATAAATAATAATTGTTGACCCGATGCGATTTTTTCTTTTTTTTTAACATATATATTTAACAAGCTGTAGTTGAAATGTTTCAGCCACCACCACATTTCACTTGAGCGAGGATCCAGAGACTCAGGTGGCCACCTTGGGTCCCGATTCGCTGAATGCCAGCACCAGACCCAGTCTGATCCCAAATTCGGTTAGTCTGCTGCCCAAGGATAAGCGCGAGATTGAGCGGGAGCCCATATTGCTCAAGGGCAGTTTCCTAACCGACGAGGCCTTTCAGACGCTCAAAACGGATCTAACAGTGGATTTAATTGAAAACACATTTGGGAGATATGTGGGTATAGCTGAATGGGTCAATCCATAGTAGACATGGACTCATGTCGGATTTTTTCCAATAATACACAATATTTATTGCTTTAAATATTTATTTTTGAAAAATTAGAAGCAATTTTTAATTGATTTGAAGATATTTATTTTTCATGTGATATTTTTATTAAGAGATTATCTACAAAATCAAGTCTTTATTTTCACAATTATATTTTACGTTAATTCTATTATTGTATTTTGGTATTTCAAAAATGAATTTATTTAACTTGTTTTCATCAATTAGGATGTGGACAACATATTTTTCCTAAGAAGCACAGCAAATAAAATTATTTTAAAAAATCTTCGTTAATCAAAGGCAATTAATTTAGATTATCCAGCTTTCAGAAACTTTGAGCCACTATACAAATTTAATATTTCAATATGATTTCGAAGAAGAGCTTAATTTTAAATTCTTTAAAATACCTTCTTTGCCTTCCTTCAGCTCAATCGTGCACTGCGTGAGGCCATCAAGTACATGCCGAAGACAGTGCACAAGCCGACTGAGGAGGTGGATAAGACAACGGTCAGCTCGAGCAACAAGATGCCGCGAAAGTTCTCCAAATCGGCGACGCGATTCGATGTGCCTATGGATCTCTCCATGCTCAAGAGTTTGTATAAATTCGTATGCATGTCTGCCTGTCTAGCTGAAACTTTAATGTCTACCCTCGCAGCCATGACACCTTGGACCTACCTGAGCAAATATGTGTGGGTCTCGCAGCAGCGAAAGCAGCTCTACAAGCGCGTCTTCCTCAAGCATCTGAGCCGTTGCGAGGAGCCGGAAACTGAACTGGCCTTGGGCAACGAGGAGACACCGCTCGTGGAGTACAAGGAGCGCACAATGTTGTGGCGCAGTTTGCCGCAGGCACTGGAGGATGTATTGGAGTTTCATGGCACCGAGAAAAATGTGAAAAATACCCTTACCACATTGGATTATCAGTCGAATGGCAGTGGAACTTTGGATTTTCGCGCCTGGTGCGGCATTGTCTCATTTGCCGAGCGTTTGGCGCTCTCGAATCCCGAGTGCAGTGATGATGACTCCTGCGATGAACTGGAAAAGGCTGACTTCAATAGCATGGAGCAGATAATTGATCAGTTTGAGGTGCCTGAAAATTTACGCGAAATTTTTAAAATTATTCGCATTACACACAAATTAAAATATTAAATTCATTTTGAAATGTAATTTCAATAATAATTAAGCGATAATAGTGAAACGATAACTTTGTACTGCTTGCCATTCACAAAATGCGTTCCCACAAACAGCTGTTGCTGCAAAGAGTATCGATACTTTTGTACCCATCATCATTAGTTTGTTTGCTTTTTGCTGAATTTTCTATAATTAAATTAATAAAAGTGATAGAACTGCATTATGGCCACCCTAGAAGATAAATTACTGGGCGAGAAATTAGAGTACTACTGCAGCAGCAGCGAAGGCGAGGACAATGCCGACGATGGCGACTCCGAGGAAGGCGCTAGGGGCTCTTGCAAAGGAGCCGCAGCTAAATCCGGACTGACACTCAACACAGACCCCAATGCAGCGCCACCGGGCGGCTATCGCCAGCAGCAGGGCTCAACCAATACAGGGCCCAAGGGCGTTGTGCAGGACTGGCAGCGTTTCAAGCAACTGGAAGCGGAGCGTCGCGAGGAAACGGAACGCCAGCGCTTGGATATGGCTAAGAAACTGACAATGACCACAACGACATCTGCAGAGGATGAGGAACGCAAGCGTCAGGAGGAGCTGGATGCTGAATTTGCGGAGCTGATGAGCGAAGACTTTCTGCAGCAGTACCAAAAGCAGCGCATGGCCGAAATGCTGCGCCAGACGGGCCACCATCAGCAGTTCGGCAAGGTAGTGCAACTGGGCACGCACGAAGAGTTCCTGGCCTGCGTGGAGCAGGAGAACAAGCACACGACCATCATTATACACATCTATGAACGTAGCCAAACCGCTTGCGCCACGCTTAATAAATGCTTGGATACGCTGGCCACCGAATATCCGTCCATTAAGTTTGCCAAGATCTGCAGCTCCGTGGCTGGCATGAGTCGTGATTTTCGCACCAAGGGACTGCCCGCTCTGTTGGTGTACAAGGCCCAGGCGCTGATTGGCAACTTTGTGCGGCTAACTGATGATTTGAGCGATGACTTTTTCGCCTCCGATGTGGAAAGTTTCCTCATCGAGCACGGCATCATAGTGGATAAGGCCTTGTACAACTAGGAATATGTACTTACTATATAAAGAGGAGCTGACCAAATGATGTGTTCGAACGTCTCGCATTTATGTAGATCGCAATAAGTCCGTCAGTCAATAAGTCGGGATGTCTCAAATGTTTTGAATTTAGTTATTTATTTTTCAGTAATAAGTTACATTATGATTCTTCAAAATCTTGTATACAGTTTTATGTGCAACTTTTTTGTAATGAGAAAATAATCAGAATGACAAATTTATTTTGTTTTTAATATATACATGTACAAAAGAATCTAATTTAAAAAGTATAATATTTGAAAAATGTATTCGAAATGCATTCGCAGCAGATTTACACAAAAAAAAATAATATATATATATATATATATATATATATACGGATGTATTACATCCACATAGAACAGAACCTGCACACTTGACACGGTAATTCCTTTTTGTTTTTGTTTTTCATCATCAATAATATACAATACAATAAACATAAGATTTATATAATATTTTTATGGGCTAATGAATGTACTTCACTCAAAATCGTACTATGTAAGATTTATACATATACAATATATATGTCTATATATTTATATAGCTTATAGCCTAGCATAAACGGGCAATATAAAAATTATGTTGATAATAAAACTTTTGCTAATCAACAAATTGGTGTTGCTTGGTTTCTCTCTCTTCATTTTTAAGTTGGTTTTTCTATTCTTTTTTTGTTTAAAGAGCTCCTTCAGATTGGGCTTCATACTATGTATGAAATGGCCAATTGAAAATTGTTTTTATATCTTAACTAAGCCTAATTACATATATGTATGCATAAATTCAAGTTTGTTTTGTTTTGCTTTGTTTTTTTGTTTTCGAACAATAAACACAAAAAATTGTAGCACAGCGAGTGAATTTTAACTTGGATGGATTTTTCGCACAATTCCACGAAAAATCATCAAATTAGGGGATTGTTAAGGCTAGGAAATGGTACAGATTCGGCAATGTGGAGATAGTGATCGGGGCAGTGAAAGAGTTTGGTATTAATATATATGACATGTTCTTCAGTTAGGGTTAAGTAAATTGGCATTAACTGGGCAAGTTCTTAAGTCTGGGAATGGTTCTTAATTATGTAAATTTAATGTACTCGTTAATCTAATTAAATTGTTTTCACTTCTGCACCTTTACTGTGGGTTGTATTTTTGCCTAGCCTCGATCGTATTGCTCGAGCTGTGCTAGCACTAGTTTTAGTTATTAAATATTAATATATGTGGAACTAACTTCTAGCGTTGCTAAAATGAGCACTTGCTTACAGCGTCATTTAGGATAATATTATATTTATTTTGCTTTTGTATAATATGTTTTGATATTCACTGTTTTCACGTCTTGATTCTTGGTTCTTTATATGTATGCGAACTGTGATAAGGTCAACGTTAATTTTGTAGAGGATAAAATCATTTCGATCACAACCAAGTTTCTAGGCTAGATGGGAAATATGTTATTTTAATAGGAAAGGATCATTGTGTTCATATCGATTTGACACGGTTAAATTTGATTCAGTATATGGAATACTGTGAAAAAAATGTGATTCTTATCTTATCCTTGGTAAGGAATGTTACGAAAGATATTGGAGAATAGGCAGCGTCAATCGGTACTCGAAACAAATGCGAAAATACGCAACTACGTAAAAAGTAACTTGGTGATCAACAATTCTCTAATCTAAGATCATATAATATCTAAACATTTAGAGTAAAAGAAACAACCTATCATTGGCGAGATTAAAACTACTACACAAACGTATAGTTTTAAGTTCGAAGCCAGACGTTAAGCAATAAATACTAAAACATATTTCACAAAAAATTAAACAAAATACTATCTTAACTGCACAGTAAGCTTTTGCTAACTTTAGAAACGTCAGAACCTAGACTCACATATACAAATATAATATATATATATAACATATATCTTTTGGACACACAGACATTAGCTATAAATATATTACAACTTCGCTTGGAGTTTCTTGAAACAAGAAACTATTACTTAAATGCTATATAATTCTATATACATGGGTTTTTATAAGTATTGTGTGAATTTAAATTTTGTATATTCAATTTTTTTTATCTTTTCGACATTGTTTTTGTACTATTATTTATGTGTAGTAAAAATATTGAGTTTGAGTTCCGTTTATATCTCTTCATTTTGATTGCAGGGCGAGTCTTTGCTTTTTCTTTTTTAAAGTAGCTTGACAACTTGGAAATCTATGAATATACATATAGTATTTGTGTACATAATGCAACTGTTTAGTTTGATCTGTGTCGTTGTTTTTGTTTTGTTCTCATTCAGTTTCAGTTAATGCTCAGGTCAAAAGTTTCAAAAAGAAATGCATAAAGCCTAAGATTTCTGTTGACAATGTTTACAAGTGCTTTAAATTTTAGTTAATTCTTTTGTTTTTTGTTTTTGTCTGTTTAACTATAAAAAGAGATTCTTTGCTAAAAATTGAAAACGAAAATTCGAACAAGTTTACAAAAAAGTAATGCATTGAATTTCATTTTATACAATTTTTTTTTTTTTTGCATTTTGTGTTTTCTTTAGTTTACTCAAATAAAATTTGGCAATTTGTTGCAATATCCGTTAATTTGTATCGTTATTAACTAAAGAAAATCAGCCTTTTCTTGCTATACACATAAATAGAAATACATATATAGATGTGTGTATGTGTGTGTGTGTTTGTGTGTAACGGTTGGGGGCTTATAAAGGTGTTTAGCCCGCTGGTAAAAATTCATTTAAACTCTAGTCAATTTAATAATTACTTAATTATGTATGTATATCTGTTGTTGTTGAAATGTTGCCTGAGCCTGCATCGCTTGCCTCCTGCGGCTGCTGCTGCTGCTGTTACAGCCGCGGCGCCTTGAAGCTCAACGATGTGCTGCACTCCACGCTCAGCTGGTGCTCCATGGTGTCCATGCTGTCATAGTCAAGACTGCCGCAGTCCGCAATGGAATTGCGCACAGATGGCGGCTGCTCCGCACCCGGCAACAGACCCACCAGCAACAGCGGCTTGTTCAGCGGTGTGGCGCCACCAGCAGCAACTGTTGCTGCCGTTGTCGGATTGCTAGTCAACTGCTCGTTACTGATGCTGTTGCTGCTGTTGCTCTGACTGCCGCCGATCTGTTTCTCCTTATGGCGACGCAGCGAGGAGCGCAACGGATATTGGCGTGGCACATTGATGAGCAGGCGGCGTGTGTTGTTGTTGTTGTTGCTGCTGTTTGGATTGCTGCTGGTGTTGGGATTGCTGATGATGTTGGGGCGACGTGTGGCATATTGTATGGACTCGGCGCTGTTACTTAAACGGATGTTGCCAACTAATATATATATATATTTATATATACACATTGGATGGTGGCGTGGGGGAGAGAGAAGAAGAGAAGAGAAACGAAAAAAATATAATTTGTTTTTGAGTTTAAGTGGGAGGGACTCTGCTGCAACATTTATGTTTGTAATTTGGATGGCTTGGTTTGGTTGTTGGTTCTGCTGATTTTGTTCATGTTGTAGTTGCTGCTGTAGGCGTGTTGCGCTTTTTGCTTGCAGACAAAAACAACTCAAAAACAAATACGTTAAAGCAACATTAAATCACAGAGTGGGTTGTTTTTTCGATTAGTTAGTACACATAAAATAAAACAACAACAAGTACAAGAAATATATAAAACAAAAATGTGTCTGCGAGTGTGTGTGTGTGTAAAGTGTGTGAGTGTGTAAAGTGTGTGTGTGTTTGTATAAGTTTTCTAATGTCATACACAAAAATAAGAAACAAACAGAAGCTCTTACATTTGTATTAACACAAATTTGATAAATAAATGCAAATAGTATTTATTGAAATTGTTTACACATAAAAAGCAATAAAATAATTACGAAATAAATGCTGAAATATTTTTTAAATATTTCCTTTTTTGGGCTTTAGCGCACGATTGCTGTACACACATACATAAAACATTATAATTATATAAAATAATCATAAATAAATAATTACTCCATTAATATTTATATAACTAAAAGTAGTTCTCAAAATTACAATATAAATTTCGAGTGTTGGCAAACGCAAAAGTTCTTTAAAATGCAAAACAAACAGATTATTTGATTATTTTTTGGTTGCTCCACGAATTTGTTGATTTAATTGAACTTCAAATAATTCGAATATTTTTACTTTTAGAATTTTGGACACCTCTGATATGTTAACGTTTTTAGGGAAACGCTTAGAAAACACTCAGAGTAGACCGCTTTGAAAATTCGTAGATCATAAATTATTCTTGTTACAAGAAATAATGTTCGGCAACTATCTGTATCTGCAGTTAAATAAGTAAATTAAAATAATTAGGCGATTAAAAATATAATTGTCATTCGCAAAAAAATAAAACTTGGAATGAATGAGTTAAATAAACAGAAAACAGGCGATTTGATAAATGATTTTTAATAATGTTAAAATTATTATACAATTAATTGATGCATGATAAGCACAAACTGCAAATTATTAATGTTTAACAAAATTCATGTTGATGATGGGGCAAAAGGAGGAAAAACGAACATTTGTACACGGTTCAGAGGTCATTGAACACATCCCAATATCTTATTAATAATATTGCTTGCAACAGGGTTGCAAATGATGTTAACGGTATGTGGAAGTTACAACACAGGACATGCCACTTGGTTGGTTTTTTGTTGGTTGTTTTTCTTAGGGTTATGTTATGATTTAACACATGATAAGCATGACAATAAAACATAAAATGATTTTTAAAACAGAAAATCCAAAACATTAAAAATGATCGTGACAAGGTTGTTGTTGTTGTTGCTGTTTCTGCTAATGTTAAAGCTACTATTGTTGTTGTTGTTGTTACTGTTATTGTTGTTGCGATTGTTGTTGTTTCTGTTGCCGCGCTGCGTCCCAAACGACTGGTAAAGCGATGCGGCAGATGCATTGCTGTCCAGACGTGGGCGAAGCTGCTGCTGCTGTTGCTGCTGTTGAAGCTGTCGATGCTGCATGAGTGGCGTGGAATGGCGCAAACGCACAGAGGCCGGCTGCACGTGCTGCTGCAGCTCGTGAGCCTGCAGCGTGTGCAACACGCAGCCATCGAGCGAATCGCACTCGCTGTCAATGCCAATGTTGTTGTTGCTTTTGTTACTGCTGCTGTTGCCAACTCGCTCAACAACAACACTAACACCAACAGCAGTAGCAGTAGCAGCAGCAGCTGCAGCTGCGGACAGATTTTGTGTGGAATAGTAGCATGAATTATTGAGCGTTTCGTGTAGATAGAAGCTTTGTGCATGCTGTAGCTGTTGCGGCTGCAACATGTTGCTTCTTTTGTAAGGCTTTAGCGCGTCAGCGTGTGCGGTGTCTTGTTTATGTTGCTGTTGTTGTTTTTGTCGTTGTTGTTGGTGATTGTTGGTTAGTGCTGCTGCCGCTTTATAACTACCCGAATTGGAGTCCAGCAGCAGGCGACGTTGTTGATGTTGCTGCGGCGGCCTCAGCAGACCCTTGGAATGTATGTGTTGCTTCTGTTGTTGTTGTTGATGTTGTTGATGCTGCTGCTGTTGCTGTTGCTGCTGACGACTAGAGCTGTAGCTGTCCTCGGTGTCCATCATGTCGTCCAAATGCTGTTCCCGCTCCAGTTCACGTTCCCGCTGCTGCCGGCGATAGAAGTGATAGAGCAGCGCCGCCTGGCTACGCTCCGCATCGATTTCAGCAGCTCCACCGACGCCGGCAACAGTTTGCCGCATGTCGCGTGTGCTGCCGCCACCCAAGTAGCCAGCGGCGGCAGCAGCGGCCGCTGCCAAGCAGCAGTTGCTGCACGTATCCGCCGGCAGCTGCAGCGAGACGACCGCGTCCCGTGGCCCCAGGAACCACTCGGAGCGGGTGCGCATGCGTGCGGTTTGGCGTTCATGGACCTAACACATTGGTGTGATTTATATTTGGATTTTTTTTGCATGGATTTTTGTTTTGTTGTTTTTATTGTTGTCATGTGTCGTCATTGTTGTTGTTGTTGTTGTGATGTGTAGTTTTGTTTTTTTTTTGTTTGTTTTTTTTGGGGAAAACGGGGATTCAAAAATTTCGCATTAGAGTTTTGACAATTTACAGTTTTTGTTTTTGGTAATTTTCTAAAGCTCAATTTTAAATTTGTTTTGCTTAATTTAAAAGTTGTTCAAAACATTTCCAGATTTATTAAATAAAATAAATATTTGAAAAATTATAAATTACAAACGAAAATTGAAATAATTCAAAAAAAAAAACTTGTTAACAATACAAATTAGATAAAATTATTTACATATATTGCAAGGCGTAGCGCAGCGGAAAAAAGTTTAGTACAAAAAGTAGAATTGATGAATATAACAAATAGAAATGGTATTCGTAGATTAAATGTGAAAAGAAATTTAAATATTTTTCATAAATAATTTGACTATCTAATTGATAAACGTGCCGATTCAAATGTATTTTGAAAGAAGCTCAACACAGCGTCATGTCAAACGAATGATTATCCAACTGTGAATACCCCTATTGTTATAAACAAATCAAAATGTAAGCGCAGAAAACTTTCCAAGCAAAATTGAAGTTGAATAACAATTTGCGATAAGCGTTTGGTAATTCTTTAGCATAAGTATTTTATAAAACATAAAACACAAAAGGAAAACAATGGAATTGCCACGCTTCCGCGTGAGTGTGTATGTGGGTGTGTGTGTGTGTGTTGGGGGTGTGTGTTGGGAGGGTGTGTGTGTGCGAATTTAAGTTTAGTTGTCGGGTTATTTGTATTGCAAACTACAAAATCAAAAGACATAAAACAAGACAGAGACAATAGATACGAGTACAAGCTACAAAAAAGAGTTGTGGTTAATTCAGGCTACGACAAGACAACAAACAAAACTACAAATTAACAACTAACAATTAACAATGAACAATAGGAATACAACAATATCGTGGCTTAAACATAGCTTAAGCTATTAACTAAATGACTAAAACAAATTTATTTGTGCAGTTTGTGTGTTTTGTATTTCAGTTTTTTTTTTGTTGTACTTTTAAATGATAAATAAAAAAAGGTATACAAAAGATAAGATATTAAATTTAAAAAAAGTGCGATTGATTTTGCAATTGTTTGCCGTAATTAACTTTGAATTCTTTGTGCTTAATGCGTATTGTTGAATAATGATAAATGCAACATTCTGTTTCCTGGTTGAATCTTTGCTCTATGCTCAACTTAAAAATAAATATTTACAATTTCTCGCACGACATTTGAAATGGTGTTTTTGAAGTAATAAATTATATACGCATTTCGTTTGTTTTAGAACACTTGTCTTTTTTTTTATATTATTATTATTAAATAAGAAAGTAAAACAAAATTGAGCACAATTCTGTTTATGTATATTGAATGGAATGAATCTTTGTTGTTTTTCGTATTTCTTTCCCTTCAAAGTAGCAATAAATGTTAAGGATACATATTTAAAGTTATTACATACAAAAAACAAAACTATAATTATAAATCAGTGAAAAACAAACAAAATAAACAAAAAACATGTGTTGTTGTTGTTGTTTTTGTTGCGTGTATATGTTCATTTTTTGTACAGTTGTGTGTATTGTTTTTTTTTTTGTACTTTTTTGAGTTTTAGTCTGGGAGTTTTAGTGCCAGATACGCTTAGAATTACGCTTAAATGTATATGTTGTTGTTTTATGTGTGTATTTTTATATGGGTGTGAGTAGTAGTTGTTGTTGTTGTTGTTGCAGGCGCAGCTTTAGTTAGATATATTCATATATATATATATTTAAATAGTATAGAAAAAGATACAAAACTAGAGAAGGAGGCGCAAACGTTTAACAATTTTATAAATCAAAGAAAAATTCGTTTTAGATTAAACCAAAAAAAAAAAACTAAATAAAATATTCAGTCAGTGAGTGAGTAGGATAGTGAGAGAGGGGATACAGCGTGTCAGGAAGGAGAGCTGCGGTCCAAAACGAGATTATTTTATATAATTAAGAAAGAAAAAAACATGAACGAAAAAATAAATGTAATTGAACAAAATGATAATCAGAAAATAAAGAACAAATGCACAGCGTTAAATATTAAAAGTTACAGAGAAAATAATAATAATAATAATCATAATAATAATACAAATCAAAAGTATAAAGTTCATCAAATCAAGAAAAATCTTAAAAACTATTAAATAATTCACAATTATTTGCAGTTTGCTTGCTCAAACCTGCAAAAAGAATACAGAACTTAAAATTCGAGCAAGTTGGCTAAATGCTGGAGACGGGGTCAAAAAGAGGTTTTGAGGCAAATTTTGGGAAGGGGAGGGGAGGGGAGGGGACTGAGTAGGAGTCGGGGTGGGATGTGGTGGACTGGTGGACGTTCTCTGCCTTTTTAAACGGATATTCTAGAGCCAGGCCAGAACTTATGCCTCACCTGTGGCAAATACGAGAGACTCTTGGTGCTCTCCGCATAGCGATTGACGGCCCGCAGCTCCTCCATGGTCATGCCTCCTGAGTTGGCTCCATTGTTACCACTGCCAACGCCGCCGACGCCGCCCCCATTGGAGCCAACGGCACCGCCCGAATTCGAGCTGCACGAGCTGCTGTGGCGTATGCCGCGATTGCAACGACTGCAGGTGCGATGCTGCTGCTTCAGCTTGCCGCCATTGCTGCTGCCTGTTGCCGCAGCTGTTGCTGCTGCTGCTGCAGTTGTTGCTGCTGTGTCCGCAGCAAGTGTGGCTGTTGTGTTGCTGCCACGTCGCTGCTCGCCGCCGCCATCGAGACTTTTGGTGCCGGTGCGCAAGCGTCGCTGATGATGACCACTGGACAGCGGTTTCTTTTTGTTTTGTCGATAGCGACGCTTCACTGTGGTCAGCTCATCATCCTCATCATCGTCCTCATCCTCGTCGTCCTCCTGTGAGTTGTGTGTTGTGCCCGAGAACTGTTGTTGCTGTTGATGCTGATGTCGCTGCCTATAGCGCTGCAAGCCACGCAATTGTTGCAGCTGCTGCTGTTGCTGCTGATGTGCTGGCGTTGCTGGCGCAATGCTGCTCAGCTCTAGATCGGCGGCAAAGTCATGAGCCAGCTCATCATTATCCTCATCATCGTCCGCATAGTCATCGTAGTCATAGTCGGTGCCATTGCCATTACCATTGCCACTGCCATTGCGCTTGGCTGGCAGCGGTGAGCTGGTCATGGCAAAGATGCCGGGTCCCTCCAGCGAAACAGAGAGACGGGCACAGCTCTCGATGAAGGAGTGCTCCGGCGATACGCCCAGCGACAGCACGCTGTTCTCCAGCGCCGAACTGGAGCTGGTCAGCAAAGCGGGCGTCGAGCGAGATTCCTCCTGGGCCACTGCATTCAACAACACGACGACGTTTATGTTTTAGGAATAGGTTTTGTATGAGCAATGAAATAGACATAAATATGAAGACAGAGATATTTTTTGTGATTTGAGTCAAAGCGCCAAAGTGGCTAAACCAGAGTGCAAAGTTAGAGAGAGAGATAAAGACAGAGAGAAGTGAGAGCGTGTAGTAGAAATTGTGTTAAGCCCAAAAGCATAGAAACCCAAACAAATTGCCCAAGCGATGGACTTAAGAGCTAGGCACATAAACATTACCCCACATACATATAGAATAGTGTAGCTTATAGATAGATAGTTCTTAAGAGCAAATAGAGATAGTTTCGGTACTCACGTAAGCCCCAACGCTCGCATTGGCACTGCAACCAGGTCTTTTCGGCCTCCAAAGAATGTTGCACTGCAACCAGGTCTTTTCGGCCTCCAAAGAATGTTGCACTGCAGAGAAATAGTTGAATTAGTCATTTGCTATAGGTGAAAATACGTATTTTATGGCATGAAAGCTTTGCTTAAACATTTGATTATATTTTTAAAAATATATATATATAGTAATTAACATCTATACAATATATTTTGAAATGATATATACAAATTGCTCAGGTTTTTGTGCCAAGTAAAAATATATAAATTTTTAATTCAAAGAAATTAATTCCTAGGCAATTAAAATTGCTGGCATTTCTATCTATCTGTCGCTTTGTTGTAATTACTTCTGATATAAAATATTACCAAAATAAAGCTGAAATAAACTTTGTCTTATCATTGTAAAAATTCAATTATGCTTTAATTGAATTTGAAGTGTATGATAAATGAATAGTTGTTGTATGAGTTGACATACAATATAATTGTTAGCTGCGTGCCAGAAACAGGTCTATCGACATAAATTCCATATTCAGTTTAAATTATTCCAATTACTCTAAAAATTATTTATATGCATTGCTGAGTATGAAAACTGGATAATGACTTGATATATATATATAATATATTTTTAATTGCTTCATTTAACTTAATGAATCGATTTCAAATTATTTCTTTAAGTTCGTTTTAATTTTTACTACATTTTCAATTGATATATTTTAATGCATATTCTAAAAGTTTCCATATTCAAATCCAAAAAAAAATCTAATCTAAAATATAAGGTATATATTTTCCAAATATTTCAATGCTCTTATCCAAAAGACCTCAAAAAATGCATACGTCAAAAAACTGTAGCCACGTGATTCTTATCTTTTCGTAGAACTTCGTTATTCCTGAGCTAACAAAGCATTATTGCAAGTAAAAGTATAATCAAGCAAAAATTTTGCAAAATGATGCATGATTCATTCATCCCATATCAGCCACTTTATTAGCCGTCTGGACTCACATGCGTATTTTTGTTGCGCCAACTTGCCGCGCGGCGGCGGCGGATATTGAAAACTGCAAATCCATTCGTCCTGCACCTTGAGGATGCGTCCCGTGACGCGGGCATAGTATTCATAGTTGTCGCGCCCAAAGATGTCATGTGTGGCAAACTTATCGATTATGTGCTGCATGATCTTAGTGGACACCTGCAATTGAGAGAGAGAGAGAGAGAGAGAGGGATTCTTAATGTCCAGATAGCAATTATAAGTTGGGCAAAGGACTCACCTTAAATTTGAGCACATCCTCCATGCGAGCTGTTTTGCCATCGCTGACGCAGGATTGAAAGAAACTGGGCGCTACAGAAACGCCCAGAGCCTCGCTGGTCATGCCTGTGGATGCGTGGGCCGCATTGCTGGCGATAACGCGGAATGTGCCAAAGAGTAAAACTAAAAGATGTTGCGTATACTTGGGCAGTGATGCAAACAATCTGCAAGGGAGAGGCAAAGAGAAAGAGGCACGCACATTAGTCAAGACAGTAGCAAGCCGTGTAAAGATCGTGTGTTATCTATGTGAAGAGTTAGGTTTGTGGGCACAACAATTGTTACTCATGTGTTTATACATTATATTTATTGCAAAGTGCACTGACTCATTGTCTAGCCAGGGCCATCAAAGACAGCCAGGGGCAGCTGAAGGTAGAGCTAAGGCAAGAGCAATAGAGTGAGTGAGAGAGAGAGAGAGAGGGAGGAGGAGCAAGAGGCAAGAGGCAAAAGGCAGCTGCTTGAATTGTTCACACTTTCATTTTGGCATGCGCTGCTTGGAAAACCTGGCAAACTAACAAACCTCTAAACTGGTCTCTCTTTCAGTCTGTCTGTCTGTCTCTCCCTCTCTCTCTCTAAACATTTTCTCGTTACACAACAAGACTGGAGACTCGAGACTAGCGACCAGCGAAGCGAACTAAGCAACTATCGCAGCTAGCCAATCAATTAAAGCTCTTTGCTCTTCGCATCTGCGGCTCCCATAAAATAAAAAGTGAAAACTTGAAGATTCAACCAACAACAACAGCAACAACAGCAACAACAACAACACACTCTGGCCATAAGCGTCGCTTGACAATGAATTATACTATATTATATTGTATATAAGTCGGAATAGAGTTTGCCCCTCTATTAAGCTGTTGCTGTAAATTGTGGCAGACAGTCGAGCGAAGACATGCGACGACAAAGACGAACTCAATTTCGTATCACAAAGCAGCACAGCACCTGTTAAGGTGTTAAATGCATTGATAATAATAATTATAATAGCGTGCCTCAAATGCAGTTAGAAATGACAGATAAACGAAAATATAAAATCGCTGGTGATAACAAAAAAAAGTGGTATCAATTGTTGGTAGTGAGACTCAGTTTGAAATTAAACAAAAAGAACTTGTTAAGCGAAATATATAAATGATAAAAGTGGAAAATGATATTAAATCATCACAGTCCCTTAGACAAAATCTACACTTTAGCTACACGTATTGAATAGTCATTAATCTATAGCAAAAACAAATGATTGCAAGAATAAATAGAATAAGTGATAAGTTTATTTAAAGTGTCAAATGACTATTTGATAGGATCATCAGAAAATGAATCAAATAAACACTGGTACTTTTCCAAGCCAAGCAAATTACATATTTATTTAAACCAATTTAATATGTAAATATATATATAATCTAATCTAGACTAGAGCTTTACCTATTTTAATAATAATAATGATTTCTATTATTATGTTATTATTTGAATTAAATTAAATTTTACTTCAGCACTGTTTGTATCAGTCAAAATTAAAAAAATATATATATATATTAATTAAAAAATTAATATTAAATTGACAATTAAAAAAAAAAAAGTTGCTAAAGCAAAGAGATAAAAATTCGGCACTTGCTAGAAATGTGTTTTCTAGTTGAATTCTTTTTTATACTTGACCAAAATCAGTTTGTGGTTTTTGTTACCTTAGCACACAGTTTTTCTTGAAATTATATCGCAGTTTTTATCGACAGTTAGATAATGTTTTTAAGCAGCATAGTGCTCTATCTTATGACAAGGCTTTATTAAGTTACTTCATCTCTTAACTATCGGCGAGTTCACCTATTTCCTCATGTATGTATATATATATATATATTTGTGCAAATCGCAAAACCAAGCACATATAGAGATACATAGAGCGCACCCCGAGCAATGCCCGCCTAGCCTATGGGTTGAACTTTTCAGCTCTGGCCCCCAACGATATCAATGACCCGAAAAAAATAAAAATGTGCCGCTGTAATATGAATTTCAATATGGTCTAATCTTATCATAATTATGAGGCCTTGCCTTCTATAGTTTAAGCAAACTTCTTTACGGGTAGGACTTTGATAATGAAGATTCCTCGAACTCGAAATCGAACCCATAAAAAAAACAAAACTAAATATAAACTAAATAATACTGATAGCGGCGATCAACAATTATGATTAATATGTTATAGTGTATAGCATTTGCTTTAATTTTGTTTACTATTTATTATTTTTTGCTGTTATGTTTCTCAGTGACAGCCACATAAATGGAATACATACAAATCGTTTCCTAATTGCATTAATTACGAAAACCCAATAACAATAAAAATAAAAACCATTGAACGATTGCTACATCGAAACAAGTGTTTACGTCGTCGTTCGATATCGCGATAAGCGAAAATCAAAATGCCGCACAACAGTTTTAGGTTTCGTATAAAAATCCCTAATGGATGATTAATGTGAGTTGCTACGATTATTTAGTGACGTATTCCAACTACGTTATTCAAAGTGATTCTACTACGTGATATTTTTAATAGATATACCTAGAATGGGAAAGCCAAATAAGCAGATTTCGAACTTTAATGCGTATTAAAACGACGTTATTCAACGTGATTCTATTACGTTATAGTTTCGAATTGGACAGCCATGACGTATCCCAACTACGTAGTAGTTTTAATAGTTGCATTTCGACTGAGACAGCCAGAAAGCAAATTTCGAACTTTAATGTGCTTTCAAAACAATTTTTACACAGATGCGTGAAAGTCAATAAAAAAAATATATAAAAACAGTGAAACTGCAGTTAAATAATTGAGTACTAAACAGCTGTTTAATTATTTGAGTCTAGGGAATAATTGATTTAAGCGTGATCACTTATTTCAAATGATTGTTAAATTACGTAAAAATATTTGTGTTAACTTTACAGATTACGCATATTATTATCATCAGTAATATTATTTACTTTTCGTTTCGATATATTTTTGATTATGCAAGTATTTCAAATGATTGCTATTATCAGCGGCTATATTATGTACGAATTGTAGCTTTAACTTTTCTACAGAGTATTTCAGCTGTGACTCTATATATTTTTTGTTATTTAAAAATGTTTGCTTCAACTTCTCTATAGAGTATTTAAACTTCGTCTCGGCAAATTTTATATTATTTAAAAATGCTAGCTTTAATTTTTCTACAGAGTATTTCAACTTCGTCTTGGTAGCGTTTTTCGTTTTCAATTTGGACTTTATGCACACATGATTTTATGTGTATTATTAATGGGATGCATTAGACACCCGACTCGCATTTGGGCGCACAGCACAACACAACACACCGCACAACAGCTGCCTCTCCTTACATAATCGTACGACGAGACGCGTTACGCATGCGCCGTGTTGCCAGCCGCCGTTTGATATTTACATAATACTCAAGAAACCGGCTATATTAAAAAGCATTTCTGTGAATCGGATGCTAAATAGATGTTCGCATTTTTAATGCGTATCTGTGCGTATTTGTTGTGCGTGTGTCAGTGTGTGTGTTTGTATTTATTTTGTTCGCTACTGTTAAGGCCGTCTTGACGCTGCGTCACACACATTATAGATGATTCATTTATTATTATTATTATTGTGTTTGTTTTTTTTTCATTCATAAAATGAAAAATGTCAGCCGAAGCCGTTGACTACAATGCTTTTTCATCTCTCCCTCTCTCTCTCTCTTTCTCTCTCGAGTGCCTTTTAAAGTGCCGCATTTGATTTGCCTTTTTAATGTTGTTGTAACTGTTTTTTTTTTTGCTGTATTTATTTCTTTCTCTGTATTTATCACAGATGAGGTTTGTTTGTATTATATATGCATTGTTACGTAGTTTGTGCCCTACAGAGAAACCAGTTTTCATATTCCCACAACTCTTGTGCCACTTGAAAGATTTCAGATGCGAGCTTTGCCGGCTGATAAGTGTTACAAGTGTGGAAAGCAGAAAGCGTCGGAAAAGTATATTTAAAATGACAGATTGTGGAAATCGGAAGCATTCAAGTGGTTTAATCACATTTTTTAATACTAAATTAATGCATGTCATAAACTGTACACATTATCAAACATAATTCATTGTGACATATAATGTTGTAATATGCATTCTAGCGTATTCTTTCAAATCTTGATATGATTTTATATTTGTTTATAGAGAAATCAATTGAGTCACAGCCAACGCACATAAATAGAACAAAGGAAGGCGAAACCATAATATTGGATATTGACGTCTATATAGGATATAAGAGAATCGTAATGCAACTTGGTGGTGTCTTATCTTGCCACTCAGTTTGTGCCTACTAAGCAGTGGTCACTATAAATATGTGGCCATATCGTTCAGCATATCTTTAGACATCAGCGCCACAGACACAGCCACAGCCAGAGCAACAGCTGCAGCTGCATCAATATTCATCAGTGCGGCTTCGCAGCTCCACGCCCCAAAAGCCTTTGTGTTAATTTAGCAAAAATGAGAGATTCAAACAGATGCGAAACGCGAACCACGAATCAGCCACAGCCTAAGTTGCTTTATAGTTGTTTCTGTTGTTGTTGTTGTTGACGGCACACCAAACAAAAACAAAAAATAAATATTAAGAAGACAATACGTCATAATAATGAGCCAAGTGAAACAGCAAACGCAAAGCAACGCTAATAAAAAGCAGTTTCAACATACAAATACAAAAAAATATGTATATGCATATGTATATGTATTTATGTACTTATGTAGTAAGTGCAGACATCACGATACTACGATGATCATGCCATAAGAAAAAATTGTGTGTTGCTGAACACTACTTGACTTGCAGATACCCTGTACTCAACACCAGTCTCGCTTAAATACGGCTCAATCTTTTAATATTGAATTGAGTATTAAAAGATAACATGCAAAACTTCATATGATCAATAATATCAATAATTAAATTTAATGCTATCCAATTTCCTTAGCTCCAGGGAAAAATGTTTACAATAAATGAATAAGCAAATAAACATTAAACCATTAAAACCATTCTACTTGCAGGGTATAGAAAATGACATTGCCAAGTTGACACTATGCAACAAATTATAAGTATTCCTTATAAGTTCGTTAAGCATTATTCACTTAATAATTAAAAATTTTAAATGGCATTTAGCTGAACAATAATCACATTCTGCACTTAGAAAATGCATAATAGTTTTAATTTGCAGTATATCTATTTTCAGACAATGTGATCTTGTGTGAACTGTGCCTGATATGCAGGGTCAAAAGGTTTATATCTGCTGTTGTACAGTGCTTATCCGGCATATGGTTTAGTTATGACTGCGACGGCTGACTATGCCAGAAGTTCAGCGTTCAGGGCAATCACTGTAAGCGTCGTCGTCCCAGACACCGTGCGAAAGAGAGACGGCGATGGGGAAATGGAGGCACGAATAGAGACAGAGACAGATAAAGAATATGAATATGAATGTAAGTGCAAGTGTAAGAAAAAGAATATGAATAAGATACAGATACAGCAACAGAAGCAGGGCCGAGACTCACCCGTTGAAGATCTACTGACGCACATTTTGTACTGTGGCACACACTGTGGTGTGTTTATATGCGTTATATATGAATGTATATTTATATTGTACACTCGCTTATTTTACTTTTATTGGTTTTGTTTGGGCATTGTATGTTGTTTATATTGTGTGTGACTGACTGACTGACTGACTGACTATGGCGGCAGTTTAAGTTTATTTATGCATCGTGGCCAGTAAAAACTCTGATGTAGCAATTTTTATTTTTTTTTGTTTTTTTTTTTGTATTTTTATTTTATTTAATTTTATTCAGTAATTTGTTGCTGCGTTTTGCGAAGCCCTTTAAGAAAACAACCATGACAACGATTTCAGCACAGAGAACGAGAAGAAACGACAACAAAATCGAATCGAACAAAACAAAACGATTCTCTCTGCAGTCAGTCACGGACTACATAATGTAATAATCAGGAAGTGAACATCAGTCGATATTGCAATAGACCCAAACAGAAAGACAGACATACAGACAGCCATCCAAGACGTCGATGTCGATGTCGTCTCTTGTTAATGCATTGGACAATGCGGCTTTTGTTATAAACTGTTTCCCTATCTGCGTCCCTGCCTGCCCCTTTTACTCAATACTTCTTCTGGCAGCAGTCTCTGTCCGTCTGTTCAGTTGCCATTTCGCCTGTCTAGACAACAACAACTACAGCAAAAGCGGGCAATTTTTGCATTTCTTTTTGCACTTATTGATATTCGCAAGCGGTAGACGACATCGTCGCCCGTCTGCCTCTCTGCCTACTCTGCCTATTGTCCCAGGCAGTCGTCAGAGCAGACCAGGCCAGTCCAGGCAATTGTGCAAATATCCTATTAACTTGGCAAATGTAAACGGCATGTGACAGGCTGGCAGCTGGCATATGAAAAGGTCTAAGCCCGAAAGGGACATGGATGAATATAAATCTTTGAAACGACCAAATATAAATAAGCGAGACAATGGACTCAATATATGAGTATATAAAATTAGCCATGCGCCGCAATTAGCTAATTAAAATCCCACAAACAAATATTGTAATAACCTGTTTAAATCTGTGCTGCAAAAAGAAAACATTTATTGAGCTCTTCAAGGCAATTCGCCTAACAAACTTAATAAGCTCTTCTGCACTGCATAAAGCAACAGGCGTCCGACAAAAAAGCGAAAAGCTTAGAAAGGCAGGCCAACAAAAGCTTTGGCCAGGCAACAAGTTGGAGCCACAGGAAACGCTACTCAATTTAGAGAGAAGAGAGAATAAGCTCATTCCCATAAATATATTAGACATGCGCACACACACAAACAAAGAAACATACAAACAAACAAACAAACACCTGCATTCACACTTTCAGAGGTAACAACGACGTCAGAGTTGTGTTTTTCTAGCATGTAATTTGGCAAGCAAAACTACACAAATAATACAAACACATGGTCGTCTATGGCAGATATACATATATATATATATATAAATATATATAGTATACACACATGTATAAATAGCGTTTTATATTTTGGTCTATTGCAAAAACGTGCAACAATGACGTCGTCCATCGTCTGCCGCAATAATAATAATAATGCTTAACAACAACAACAAATTATGTGCCAATTGATGGAAGTGGGTGGCAAAAGTAGTTGTTGTTGGAGGGCGGGGAGAAGGAGACCTGTTGGGCTGCTATTTGCTTTAGGTTTACGTTAATTGATACAAAGATTCAAACGCGCGTCTCCGCATCTATTTATAAAAGTTTCAGCAGCTATTTTCGCGCATTTGTTTAAATCTGAATGCGATTGCTTAATGTGTGTGTTTGTAGAAGTTGTTGCGGTTGTTGTTGCCAGCGCCTGCCCTAAAATGTAAATAAACAAAAGAAAGGTAACAGAGCAGCCACAGCACCAACAATTACAGCAATAAATGTGTATATAATTGTATTGCTGTTATTGCTGGCATCGGGCGCTAAGTTTACAGTAACCAAATTGAGATTTACGTTTGAATTGACTGCTTGGCTGCTGGACTGCTGAGCTGGAAAATGGAAAATTTTGGCGGTCGAAATTTACGCATGTATCGCTGGCCAATTTGAGATGTATGTTTTATTGCTGACGTTATTTGTTTACACGCACATTAGCATCAATGTAACAGCGTTGCTGCTGCTGACGCAGTTGCCGCATCCACATTCACATTTATCAAAGTGTGCACAGAAGAAGAGTGTATTAACAACAAAATGAGATTTGTTGTAGTCAGCGCTGAACATTTAGACAAATATAAAGCGACTGCAATCAAACAGCTGTCAAATGCCAATTTAACAGCAACAATTAAGTTGGCAAGGCCATTGCAGCAGCGCCGATAAAGAAAGAAAAAAAAAAAACAACGCAAGATAATATCGATTGCGATTGTGAATGGTTAATTGCAGGCGCCGCTCACTTCACTTCACGCACAGGCAACTTTACCTTCTCTCACCCACAATGCTGCCTGCTGCTGTTGTTGTTGTTGCAATTGCAAAAACAATTGTAAATTGTATAAAAGTGCAACAATTTCGTTTTATTTTAATTGAGTATGCGTGGGTCTCTCTGTCTGTGTCTGTTTGCCCACGCTTTATGCTCCAATTCAGTTTGGTTAGAAATCGATTGCAGCAACAAAAACAAAAATAAAGCAAAAGCAAAGCGAATCACAACGCAAAGCAAATGAGCAAACAAAACATTCAATTTACAGCTGCAAACGAAGTACTTACAACAGGCCCCTTTTCTAACTGTCTGGCCATTTTTGTCGCTTAGCGCTGCTTGGCGTATAAGTGAAAATTTGTGAAAATCTAGCAAATGTGTCAACAAGTGCAAAGACAACAACAACAGTCGCAGTTCAGTCAGCGCTTTTCACTTAATTTCAACTAAATTCGCAGACCTCTTAACCGGGCCCAGCTCCTCCCCCTCCACCCAACCAACAACTGCTTTGTATGTTTAAATACATACAAATGTACATTTTGTTTTTATGTGTGTATGTGTGTGCGAAGATTCTTGAGCTGCAACCAAATCTAGATCCGGTTCAGCAAGTTTACCGCAAGCTAGTTACAATACACACACACACACACACATACACATGAGATGAGTACAAAGACGATACTAGAGATGGGCGCGTGCTAGAACTCGATATAAGTTCCTATTTAATCGCAGGCTTAATTTAACATGTTAAATTACTTTATTTTGTATGAAGATGAGATCAAACAAGAAAAAAAAGGCCGAGAAAATTACAAACAAGCTAAGACTCACACTTTTTCGATTAACAAAAATTCTAGTCGTGTCACGCCACACAGCTCTATTCCATGCATAAGTTTACACATATTCATATATGTATAGGTAGTATTTACATATATATATATATATGCATGATAATTGACTCGACTCACCTGTGTAAACGGTCCGTTTGCTCGGCTTCGTTCTGCAGCTCGTTGATGGCAAAGAGTTCCATTTCGCCCATGCGTCCAAAGATGCCGTTGGGTATTTTGCGCAGGAATTTCTTCAGAACGCTGGCAATGGTGAACACCGAATAGTTGTCCACATTGACCAATCTGCCCGCCTGCAGGAAATGGATGAGTTTCTTCATGGCCCCCTGATGCCCGGGTGCACGAAAAACATCGCGTCGATTCGGTGACTCCTTGTTCAGCTTCAGGATCAGCACGAGCAACGGTCCCGGAATGTTGTTGTTGTGTTTGCAGACCTCCTCGAGAGGCACACCAAATTTCACCTTCTCGAGGCGGTAGGGATAGGCGGGCGCTGTTGCTGGATGGCCGCAGGATGTGACAACGTTGCCCAAATCGGCGGCACGTCGATGAACGCGTTCAGCCCAGCTGGACATTTTGTCTATGTATAGATGTGTGTGTGTGATTTTTTGGCTGTATGCGTATGCGTGCGTGTATGTGTGCGTGCGTGTGTGTGTGGGCAACACTTTTCTTTTGGGCGTTCGTTTTTCACAGAAAAATGTGCTCGCTCAGAATTTGATGCTGTTTTATGCTGGTTAAAAACATATTCCTCTTCTTCTACTACTTTCCACTGGAATGTAACTGCGTTGTTGTTGTTGTTCTTGTTGTTTCTGTATGCATTTAACTTTCGTTGTTGTTCTCCTCGTAGTTAATTTTTGTTGTGTTTGTTTTGGGGCGTTGTTTAAATTTTCTTCGTACGTAGTAATTATTTTGTTCGTTAGGTTTTCTCAAATGTTAATTGAATTTGACAAGATCGCTTGTGTTTCTGTGTGTGTGTGTGTGCCTGCTTTGATTTGGCAATTTCAATATTTTTTTTTCGTTTTATACTTGCTCCGACACAGCAGCCACTCCTGTATGCACTTTTTTTTTTTTGCTTTTGCTTCGCTGCTTCTCTCGCTCTTTTTCACTGTTGCCGTCTTTTTACAGTTGAATAGTGGATAGCGCGTCGCATTGTAGCATATTGAGCGGAGGATATATCTATCATCCACATGCACGTTAAGTTTAGCAGCGCGTCTGCTTGTTGATTCTTTTTTATTAAATTAATTGGTTAGTTTTCGTGGCTCTTAACGTAAATTTTTGCACCTCTGCACGCACGACTTGCAGCTCCAGCACTTGTGTATACACTAGCGATGTGTTATTTTTTTCTACCAGCGATGTGCACAAATTATCACAATTATCGATATCACTCGAAGCGGCACATACCGCTCACAATATATCAGCTAATTGAAATATCGATTGCTTATGCGATAACTAACAAGCCGTATCGATTCCAATGCACAAAACGTTACCCTGCATGCATTGAGTAGTATCGAATCTCTAATTATGGCGAATATGTGTAAAGTGAAATTGTTCCAAACGAAATAATAATAATAATACAAAGCTCTAGCAAGCCGCAATTAAATAAAAAAATATATATATTTTTCGGCGAAATAAGTACGTATATAATAGAGTAGGCTGCTAACACACACACTGGAGCGGTTCTGACAAATCATACATATTCATTTATCTTATTTTGTATTTGTCTGAATCATTTTGTTGTCTGCTTCAAAACAATAACACCAGCAACAATAATAATTCTTATCGTTTTCTCTTCTTTTTGCACAAATAATAAAAGGCGACATTTGGCGAACGCAACGCATTTTGGCCCAATCGCTTATCCAAAATTTTCAAGTTCCATTTGCAAAAACAATTTTCATGTGTGTGAGTGCCGCTGCTCACCTTGAATCCATCGTCGACGTCGTCGCTGCTGCTGCTCTTGTTGTTGTTGGTGGTGTTGTTGTTTTCCCCTCCGTAAGCGTCTACATATAAGATATTGACCCTGTACGCCTGATACATATTTAAAACACACACACATCGATACATACATAAGTTGCTGCTGCATAGAAACACTTTACAATTGTTAGGTGAACAAATGACCACCGCTGCCTCGACATCGCAAAATGCGCCATCAACATTGATGGGTGCTGTCGGAGCCGTAGGAGGCGGCGGCAGCAGCGGCACTGGGTCGACGACGACAACGACACCGAGCAGTTCGGCGGTGCGTGCTTTGGCCATGGAATATAAGTCGCTGCAGGAGGAGCCTGTCGAGGGATTTCGTGTCAAGCTAATGAACGATGATAATCTCTTTGAATGGGAGGTGGCCATCTTTGGGCCGCCAGACACACTATATCAGGGTGGCTATTTCAAGGCGCACATGAAATTTCCACACGACTATCCATACTCGCCGCCATCAATACGCTTCCTCACCAAGGTGTGGCATCCGAATGTGTACGAGAATGGAGATCTATGCATATCGATACTGCATCCGCCGGTCGATGATCCGCAAAGCGGTGAGCTGCCCTGCGAACGTTGGAATCCCACACAGAATGTGCGAACAATTCTCCTCTCGGTTATATCGCTCCTCAATGAGCCCAATACATACTCGCCGGCCAATGTGGATGCTTCGGTGATGTATCGCCGATGGCGGGACTCACAGGTAACCAATTAATTTACGAATTAATTCAAGATTCATTCATAATTTTTGTTGCACTTTGAACACAGGGCAAGGACAACGAATATCCGAACATAATCCGAAAGCAAGCACTAGCCGCCTATGCGGACGCCAAGCGGGAGGGAATTGTGGTGCCAATGACACTGGAGGACTATTGCCTAAAGCCGACGGTTAAGCCGAGTGCCGGTTCCGGTCTGGATACAAATTTCTATGATGATGATTTCGATTTGGAGACCGAAGACTTGCCCACAGATTCGGATGAGGATGATGATGAGGATGACGACGATGATGATGACGACGACGACGCTGATGATGATGATGATGCCGATGCTGCTGGTGATGACGAGGGCGGTGCAAAGGATGGCGGTGGCGACAGTTCAGCGAATAGCAAAAATAATGTGAATAACAAGAAATGCACGAACAACAATGGTCTGGTGTCGGCGAAATCGACTGCCACAGATGATGCCGAGTCCGCTGATGACAGCGGCAAGGGCGAGACAACATAATGCAGTTAAACCCGCTCCGTCTCCACCATTGCTCCCCCTGCCCAAGGCGTCCGCGTAGCATTTAATTGATGTAACACATGTGAAAAGAAAAAATAGAGCTAGGAGAGACGCCCCCTAAGGTCAATCGCTGGCTTAACATTTCTCTCAATACAATTATGATTTCTTCTCTTTTATGTTTAATTATGTACAATTGTAAAACTGAAACGCGAATCGCTTCCCCAAATAGCCCCGCTTTCAATCCTCAGATATAGTCTAGAGATATGGCTGGCTGGCTATGAATATTTTCAACCAGTTCAGGAGCTTGCGATTCATTTTAAATGCAACTAAACAAGAACAACACTCAAAACTGATAATGATTATACAAGATATATACAATATACATATGTATTAGCTATAAATTATTATTTTAAAATATATATACACATACAATAACACGCATGTAACTACATGCAGTTCATTCAAACGGGGGACCGAGACACATGCAAATTTTTAATGAAATCTAACCTCCTAAAAAGCAAGACATCCTAACAAAAGCTATACTAAACAAGAAAAAGAAAAGAAAAACAAACAATTACATAAAGATACAATCAACGGATTTCAAGTATATAAGGCAAATTATGAAACGTAGCAATTAAGCCATTTGTAAGTGCAAAAAACACCAACAGCAATATTGAAAAGGAAAACCGCATTGTATATTAATAAATTGCAAAGATAAATAAGCCAAATAAAATTACATAAAACCCTCCATGGACTTCTTTCAATTAACGCAAAGCGACTACGTTTTTACAATCATCAAATATATTTATAAATAAATGGTCTTTATTTTTTAATAAAGTAATTCATATATTTTCTCGTTCGTATCGTTAAGAAATCAGGCATTGAACCCAATAGGTAACGAAGACCTCTCAATATGTCTTAAATATCATTTGAATCGACCTGAGTATCAACTGCAGAAATGCTACAATAATAATAATCGTTCAAAATATTAGTCATTTGTTGTAATTATATTGCTAACGATTTATTTGCTCAACTTTTCATTATCTTTTAGATTTGGGTTATGAGCTTGGCGCGCTTGCGCCATGCCAGCAGCGCTGGCGTAAGATCCTTTTCCGTAATGGCAGGCATGCGTATCAGGGAGCTATAGACACCAATATCCGCAACGGACATTTGATCGCCACCAAAATATTGTTGCTGCTGCAGCCGCTTGTCCAGCAATCGCACCATGGCCACCTGGCTCTTGTGTGTGCTGCAGCGCAACAGTTGATAGCAAATGTCCAGCACAGCATCGATTTCATTGCACAGCGGCGAGCTTTCATAGCGATATTCGTTGGGGCCGACACGGCCCAAATACCTTATGATATTCACCTCGCCATAAATGGGCACATACATTGTGGGTGAGCTGATCATTTCAGTGTGTTCGCCTGTAAAGCAGTAAAGTAAATTTAGTGATACACACAGAGATATATTGAAGTGATATTGCTTACAGTTCTTCCATATGAGTGTCACATTGATCTTGGGCAACGCCGCATTGACAGCCACCTTGGCCAATTTGGCCTCAAAGTCGTGCGCCGCTGGCCCAATATCCGCCATTGTCGAGTGAGTGAAGGTTTTCACATCGATGGTGTACAGATCGCGCCAGGCGTTCTTCAATGCCAACAGCGCATAAGGTATGAAATTGGGATGACCATTAACGACAACATCATGCAGTGGCTCCTGGTGCAGCAGGTAAGATAAGCAATAAATTATATGTATATATATATATATAGGTCTGAAGTTGAACTCACCTCTTTAAGTCCGCCATTCTGATAAGCTGTCGTATGCTGAAAGGTCTTGCCGCAGACACGGACACCCAAACTTTTGCGTATTTGACCCAACTGCGCCTTGAGCTCCTCCAGCTGCTTCAGTACCTTCTCTTGACGCTCCACTACAGCGTTTGTGTCTTCGTGCTGCAAGCAAGAAGAATTGCACATTATTATTAATTAAAAGACGTCATCATAGTTACAAGCAAGCTAGAGATGGGCGCGCGTTAATATTATTATTATTATTATTACATACAAATACCCAACACCATTAGATATATAAATTAACATTTACCACAATGAATTTTATGTATACTTTTGGAATTGCAATTTGATATGACAGTACCAACATGTGTCCTCAATTTTCAATAGAAGTTCTCACTGGACTGAACAACACTCAATAAAAATAATAATAATAACAAAAAATAAAAACTGCATGAAAGATCAGACGCCCATTTCTGATGCGAATAATATGCAAAACAACACAAACATGGAAAGCATATCGTGCGTGTTATGTGCTTTTGTTAGTCAGTTTGAATTTAAAAATAGATTTATAAGTTTGTGTTTAGTATAGAAATATGTTTAACCTTTAGCAAATGTTGTATTTGTCGGCCTAAAATGTCCAAATCAAGTGCACAATTGACTGATTTTGAAATGTTGCTCTCATTCTCCGTTGCGCGACTGCATCGAATTCTATGGCCCTTCTTCAATATACAGTGAATGAAAAATTATATGATTTATTTTATTTTTACAAATAAGCTAGCTATCCAAATTATTATTGAGCACAGATAGGCAATCGACATTTTGGGAACAGTCACTGTGACTTTTTTTGTTCGCATTTAACGCTCATCTCTAATATGGGCCACGGCAGCTGGAAAACAACACACTTACTGCTGGGCCTGGTGTAGCGCCGGCGGAGAGGCTGACATTCCTTAATTCGTACATGCAGGTGGGCAGTTTAATATCGAATTGTGGCAGCAAAGTTTTCAACTCGTACATTTCACGTTTAGATTTTTAATGAAGCTCAAATTGTTAACCCACAGAAAAATGTGCTTGGCGGTAGTGATGTGGAAAGAGTACTATCGATTTCGATAGATGCACAAGTTCTTCAAAACAACATCAATATCGATAACATGCCGACTGCGTATTATACAGTCGCCACAACTTTTGTCTTAAAAAATAATTATTTAATTAGAATTAATTGCCTCATTTTCTCAGATAAATATATAGACCACGAGTACCAATGTATTTTTAAGTCAATTAAAAATAATTCTGTTTAAGACGATCGTGTTTTGATTGATTTAATTTTCCATTCATCTGATTAGGATGCCAAACAACCATTTTCGTACTCAAGCCCATTTAAAAATAACAGACTTCTGAGTCTTATCGATATATCGGTATAATATAATGGCATTCACATGGAAATACGACACCATATCTTGACAAGTTGGCAGCCACTGTAGTGGCGTCTATGATTTAAATCAGAAAAGAAGAAAATTTGTTTACAAGAATAAAAATAAAAGAGAAAAGAAGATGAATAGGAAATCAAGAAGTTCGGTAAGTAAACGAATAATTTCTCATAAGCGTCAACTATATTAATGCCATTCTCACAGTTAAAAAAGGTGTCCACCCAGGCGGAGGAAGAGACGAATCCTGCGATATCAATTAAGCGTCGCATCAGTTTCAGTGGCAAGAAATTCATAAGGTAAAATCTTTATCATATTCTTTTAATATGAATTATATTCGAGTTCTGGTCTTTTTTCCAGAGAATTTGTTGCAACAGAGAAGGCGAGAGACTATGACCATTCATATGAAATATCAGATAATACCAATGGCTCCGACAGCTCTGACCAAGCTCATGGCACGGTGGCCGCATCTGTGCTGCAAAGTACAGCGCATATTTCGCTGACCATTGATGAGATGGACAAGGAAAATGCACCACTTGCCATTGCGGCGGGTGACGCGAGTGGCTCACTGCACGATCAATATTCCATGAACGATTGCACACTCAAATTTCAGACGAGCATCAATGTGACGCTGTTGCCGGATGAGTTGAAAGGCAATCGTAACCGCACTGAATCATCGACTGCTTTAATGGAGCTTACGTCCAGCGACAGTTTGTCTCTGTATGAAGTGGAGCGGGATAAACTGCGCGAGAACAGCATGTACAATAAGAGAGTGCTTGAGAAAACTATAGATCTCTTGCCACCCAAAATGGTGTTTTCCGAGGTAGTTTAAAAGTGATTAAAAAGTTTAAAAATATAAATATATTTTATTTTGAACAATTGCAGCTGATGCCAAAGCAAATGGAATTGGAAAATGTTCAAAAAACAACTGTAATGTCTATGGACGTAAGCTGTGTGACTACAAAGGAAAAAGAGCTCGAGCAAAAGACGGTGATGTTTGAGAGCCACGATATAACGTGTGATTTTGAAGATATTGGTAAGTTAAATAAGTTCGTATCTTAACTCAACAAGCTAAATAATTCGCTATATTTTCAGAGCCAGCTGCAGTTGCGGCGATTAAGCCAACGCAAGAGATAATTGATTCGCTTGATGCGAATGACAGAAATTATTTCAATTATTTGACAGATGATTCGACGCTGTCCTCGCCGTTAATACCACTGGATGTCATTTCGGAGAACGGCATCAGCAAGAAGCTCAACTATCGCGAGCTGAACGATGCATTGAACTCAGGCCGCCTAAAGGTGTATGCCAATGGGCCGAGAACACCAGCCACAGATCGCACAGCGAAACAACGGTCATTTTGGCATGACCCAGAGCAGCAGCCAATGGATGAGGATGTTCCACAGATAGAAACCATTAAGCGTCGCGGCACGCTTAACTTTAATGATAGCATGATCGTATCGCCTGTTCCGCAGAAGACCGAATCAAAGCCGATGGCTAAAACCGATCAATCAGTTAAACGAAATTATCGCTTCTCGCAAGCGGACGAGCTGATGCTGGACAATACCAACTTTCTGGTCCATGCCAAAATGGGCGATGAAACGCAGTCGCAAAGTACCTCCAAATGCTCCTCGCGACGTGAGATGACGTGCGATAATACTGCCATGGAATTGGATGATCTGGACAAACATGAAGCAGCAGTTGCAGCAGCCCTGGCATCTGTCAAATACAGGAAATCCCTGCATTGTTTGGAAGGAATGGAAGGAGACGATTTCTTAAGCCCCCCCAAAGATGCAATAGATACACAAACTGATCAAAAATGTAGTCGCAATAATATAATTGGGGAAGATGCTAATAAGGCGTTGCAAGATGAGCAGCGCAGCAGGCCAAGGCAAACATTGCACATGGTTGAACCCATTGAAGAGATCTCCTCACCTGCTGCTCCAAGAGAGCCGCAATATAACAAGCAACGGACAACGATGCACATGGCTGAGCCCATCACAGTGGATATTGTAAAACCACAAATTGAATCTAAGGATCAACAGCAGGCAATTTCTGCACCGAAGCTGAACAGCAAGGCACGTCGAGAAACTTTACACTTGGCGGAAGCAATGGACGAAGACATAGAAGAACCTCGTCAGGAATATCAATTAAAACAGGTAACTGCTTCAGTGGAATATTCGTGCAGCAGACGAAGACAAACCTTGCACAGTGTGGAATCCATGGATGAATCTCTCTGCGCGGACAACAATTTGCCAACAGCTGCTGCTGTTGCTGCTTTGATTAAACCGAATCGTAACCAATACAGGCAAACAATGCACCTGGCTGAAGTCATTCAGGAGGAGAATATTATTGGACCACAACATGAGCTGAAGCCACTGCAACAATACTCTAGGCGTAGACAGACCTTAGTGCTGGCCGATCCCATTGAAGATGACATCTCCTGCGCACAGAAGGATTCTATGCCGGCAGGTGTCCCAATAGAATCGCATCCAAACAAGCGAAGACAAACAATGCATATGGCTGAGACTATTGAGGAGGATGACATCATTCCACCCCAACAGTTAATGTCAATCAGTGAAACTTCTGGAAGGGGTCCGCAGAAAACGAAGCGTAGACAAACACTACGCATCGCTGAGTGCATTGAAGAAGATATTGTCAAACAACACACAGAGCTTAAATCACAGACAGTAGCTCCTAGAAAGCGGCGACAAACACTGCACCTGGCTGAGTCCATTGAGGAAGATACGTTCTGTGCACAAAAAGAAGTCGGTTCAATGTCGAAGGCTGTCAGTCCTAACTTCCAAATTTATGAATCAGTTGATGAAGATGCCTTAAAACCACAGCAGGAATTAAAGTCCAAGTCAGCAGTTCCTAAACTGGAACAGCAGTACAACAGGAGGAGACAAACATTGCACTTGGCGGATCCCATTGAGGAAGATGCGTTCTGTGCACAAAAAGAAGTCAGCTCAATGTCGAAGACTGCCAATCAAAAATTCCAAATGGATGAATCGGTTGATGAGGAAGTCTTAAAACCACAGCAAAAATTACAGTCCAAGTCAGCAGTTCCTTCACTGGAACAGCAGTACAACAAGAGGAGACAAAAATTGCACCTGGCAGATCCCATTGAGGAAGATGCGTTCTGTGCACAAAAAGAAGTCAGCTCTGTGTCGGCGGCTGTCTGTCCTAACTTCCAAATGGATGAATCAGTTGATGAGGAAGTCTTAAAACCACAGCAAAAATTACAGTCCAAGTCAGCAGTTCCTTCACTGGAACAGCAGTACAACAGGAGGAGACAAACATTGCACATGGCAGATCCCATTGAGGAAGATGTGTTCTGTGCACAAAAAGGAAGTCAGCTCTCTGTCGGCGGCTGTCTGTCCTAACTTCCAAATGGATGAATCAGTTGATGAGGAAGTCTTAAAACCACAGCAAAAATTACAGTCCAAGTCAGCAGTTCCTTCACTGGAACAGCAGTACAACAGGAGGAGACAAACATTGCACATGGCAGATCCCATTGAGGAAGATTCGCTTTGTGAACAGAATAATTTGAGGGCACCGGTTGCTCCAATCAAAAGTCGAATGCAATTGCAATCCCAAACAGCAGTTCAGTCAGTTGAGAAGCAAAGCAACAGACAGAGACAAGCTGTGCTCATTTCGGAGGATATTATTTGCAGAAATGAGGACAGCAACTTGAGAGCAAAGCACCAGCTAAAGTCCAGGCAAACATTACATAAAGCCGAGTCTATGGAGGTGGTCATTTGTGATGCGGCTAAATCCCTCAGACTAGAAGGAGCTTCTGCTGATCAACTTGACCCAGTTCAGATGGAAGAATCAATGGAGGAATACATCAGTTGTGTGCCAAGACACACCGTTCACAAAGTAGAACCTATGGTTGAGGAAATGCCAACAGCCAGGCGAACTGAGCAGCGCAGTAGCAGGCCAAGAGTCACACAACTGCTCTCGGAGTCCATGGGTATACAGCTGCTAAGCCAGAGCTCAGGCGAAGATGTTGAGAAAGCTTGTGCTGAAAGTCCATCGGATTCAACCGAATGGTTGGCTCAGATGCGCAACAAAGCGCGTCAAACGCTAACTGAGGACAAGTCCGCGTCTCCAATTGAAGGCAAGGCAAATGCCCTGAAGCTAAAACACAGCAAATCAATTATGGAAACGCCCAAAATGAATAAAGAGCAACAGTTGCTGCGTCACAACTACTTCCCCATCACACCGGGTCGGTCAATGATCGAGTACGAGGACCTGGAGGAGGAATGCAAATCTGATAGTCGCACTCCAACTCCTCCGGCGGCTGCTGCTGCCCGCTCCACATACCAAGCTGTCGATAAGGACCTCGACATGGATACTTCAAATTATGACACACCTATTCGCGCTGCTGACAAGAAAACGACTTCATTCAATATCAAACGTTTGCCGACACACTTGACACCAAATTTGCCGCAATCCAAGAAACGCAACACGCAATCGATACAACTGGAAGATAGAAATAAGTAAGTACATTCAATTTTACAAATTGGCCAACTATTTAAATTTCTTTTCATCATTTACTTCTTGGATTATATCACAATTGAAACTGGACAAATCAACCAGAGAAAATGAGGAACAATTAACGCCTGCTGCTAGGAACAGATCTCGCATTCCAATCCTCTCCAAAAGCATTAACCAAAACTCGCCATGGTGCGAACCTGAGCAACTGGACGGCACCGTGCAGATGGTCAGGGCACAGATGACGCAACAGACTCGCAGCCATTTCGAAACGGGTATCACAAATCTGCTGGCTGATGGCAAGCATGCAATTTGCTATGACGATAATCCCATTATCATATCCGATGTGTCCAACCATTTTATGGCACAGCGGGAACTGGCCAAGCGCTCTGTTGAGCAGCCCAATGATGCCTCCGGAGATAGTCGTAACTCAAATGAGCTCAACTTTAAAAGCTATGCCACAGCGCACAGAGAGTTCATAAATCTGAGTGGCGATACTGTCATCTTTGCCGCTGCTGAATTGCCAGACGACGGAGAGGCGAATGATTGTGAGATTGAGAAGACGCAACTCAGTTTGGTCTCCACCTTGCTAGACGAAGAGAATGACGATGAAGATAGGGCTGACCAGAGTAACAGCATTGAATTGGAATCTGATGGCGAAGTCGAAGCCGAGCCCGAAGCTTGCCTCGAGCAACTGAATCCGCCAGCTGTCGCCGGAGCTGTGGACGCATGCAAGAAGTGTAAGCATTGCAGGCGCTCTGTCGATTTGGGACGCAACAGTTTGGGCGACTCATTTGAATTGCCCGATTGGCGTGAGCTGAACGTGGAATTTGAGCGTCTGGAGCGTTTGCGTAAACGGAAACGTCTTTCCGATGTCCATCGTTATTGGGAGCTCAAGAAACTTGAGCGTTACTCACATTCCGGCGATGAGACGGCCAATCATATAAATGAAACATCCAATGCCATAAGCGACACAACAAATCGCTTAAATCTGCCACAAATGCTGGAGATGTTCAACACCAAGTGGCAAGAGTGAGTAGAAGCCATTGGCTGGCAGGCCGAAAGAAGCATATACCTTTTATTAACACAATACTCCCCCTCTGCTGATTTAGGTACAAGAAAATCATTTGCAAGCCAAACCGCGTGGAAACGTTTGTTAAACGCCTGGAAGCCTCAATGCGTGCCCAGCTGCCCAACTGGATATTTGATTATAAGCTTCAAAACCAGCACAAATATATATTCTCACATCGCAAAATAACCACATTTCGCATCGTTGTTAGCTACAAGCCGCTTGATTCATTGGAGACGGAGATATGTGTGGACAGCATTCAATTGGACACTGTGACCCTTGTTCCTAAAGGTATGTGTAAAGGTCATACGAAAAAACACTCACTTCAAACTGCAACTTATTAATTTGCAGCACTATGGAGCACCTATGAACATTTGATGGATTTCCAGCTGAGGCTTAAGCTGCCATTAAACCTGGACAACTTGTTGGATGGCAATGATGTTGAAGCTTTTGTATTATTTCTACAGCACATAGATAGTATTTGTATGGAAATCAGAGGGATTTGCAATAGTATGCACACGGTGCTGATCGCGGCACAAGCCCGTCTTATAAGGTATACATATTTGATATCATCATTTTCCTCGTTTAACTTTATTTTCCCAATATTTTCTTTAATTTATTAGGGAACCAAATCGCACTGTTGTTAGGAAAACCGTGCGCAGATTAATCAAGGAGGAGGATGAGGCATATATGCGAGTGGAGAAAGCCCACTTTTGCATTGAAATCGGTAATGTTCGAGAGATGTCGTTCAAGGACATTCTAGAGCCGCCGATATATCATTTCGATGAGAACATTCAATTTTTACCAAAGGGTATTGCATTTCTGGAAGCCTTCATCCATAATCCAGAACAATATTTAAAGCGCAACGTCGATAATTAATGTTGTTCTCACGCAACTATAGCAGAGCTAACCCGATTCAATGCATATACATACATTATTGTAATTTCAGATTAGACTATTTCTTGTGTACATATACGACTTACTTCAGTTGGCTAACATATTTAATTGTAAAAGTTCTCATTTGATTTTGTAATGCAAGCATTACCATTACAAATTAACGATTTTCGTTTATCATTATTATTTTTTTGTTTGTTAATATACAATCTCAATAAATGTCTTTCTTTTTAAACATGTTTGAATTTTTTATTTTATAACTACTTTTTCTAAAGTGATCATTTTTATTTTAATTCTTGTTCAAATTTCGTTCTTTTGTAGTCTTTTTTTAAGGCAAGGATGATTTCTTATTAGTATTAATTAATTTGCAATAGAAAAAAGGAAAACCAGTCAAAAATATTAATTTTTAAAAATATTGTTTGTGCCATTAAGGAATGTATTTATTAGCCGGTTACTGTAGCATTTCTGACACGGTGGCTGTGGTGTAAGTTTCTGAGGCTAATTAAGTCAGGAATGAACTAATGTCTTCCAGAGCAATGAATGAGAGCTCCTCACGGTCGCATGCCATCTTCACATTGACGACGATGGCAAGGAGAAAGACGAGCAGATAAATTCACTCAATTTTAATACACTGATATTAACATTTTGAAATAAATTCAGGAAACGTGTGTCAAAATTCAAAATTGAATTTAACAGACTTAGCTAGCGCCGAACGCTGCTGAAAGACAATCGCTTGTGGCAATCGACTTAAAGTCAACAATATATGTATATACATATATTCCCATGTCTGATTGGTTTAGCTGTTGGTTTTTGTTTTGTTTATCATATCGTCAGTCGAAGCTGACGCGTTTGCTGCCAAACTAGTTGGCCGGACATTTTACACATTGATGTCCCGAAATAAGGATCTCGAGCAGTCCATGCTAACACAGTATTTGCGCGATTTCACAAAGCTGAGTTTGAGCAATGAGAAATGGCACTACAGACTGACCCAAATCAAAATTAAATTTATATAATATAAAATTGATTAGCGCCTCCAACTTGGCAGCACCTTCTATCCATGATGCATTGCGCCTGGCATGGCAGCCGTTTCACTGTTAGCCAGACTAGAGGATCTCTAGCAGAAGTGTTCTAGTTCGCGATCTAGTTACGCATCCAGCTTGCCAACATCAAAATCCTTTTAAGCCTTCACACTACAGCGCATTCTTCAGCCTTTAATAAAAAAAAGAACAAGTTGAGAGTTGATATTGACTGATAGATAGACAGAGAGACAGACAGCGTCAATCTGACTTGGCAATCGATTGGGATCAAGAATATATTTGGTATAAATTTACTTCTTCGAGTTACCAAAAGTCAGAATGCAAAATAAAAGTTAAACTTACTTTTATTTGAGAAAAACATGATTGTTCAAAAACATGCGCCGTTACTCCGAAAATTACCTAAAAAATGTCAATATACCACATTTGGTATTTTCAAAGTAAACTTACACCTGCATATATAAAATTGTATCGAAAAACAATTAAAATGCAGAAAATATACTAAATATAAATCTCTATCTTCATTTTATTGAATAATAACATAATGTAACAAATATAAATTGTACTGTTGTCCACACAGGTTGACAGACAGCTGTGTGCAGTTCAGCACCTACCATAAAAATTCCGGTGTCAAGTTAAGTTACCCTACCAAAAATTATTTCCGACAAAAGAAGTTTGATACAGAAATGGCGGACTCTGAATTGATTGACCACTTGATAAAGTCTATGGCAATCATTGCAGTGAACTCGAATAGTTTTGTATGGCGTTTTTCGGTTGCAAGCGCAGTTTTTCGAACTGCGTACCAAGCTTTTGCTTGAGTATTTTAACAGTATATTTCTTATTTGATTTGTTATGATTTTGTTATTAACATCTTAAAGCTGGTCACATTCCGCCGAGGTTGCGTTTGAGGCCATCAAAACAAAAATCGCAAAATATTTGCAAAAACAAGCAAGGGAGACATATTCACATATATTCAGTCATTCGGTTAAGTCATCTGATGATTGACATGTGGTTTGATCCATCCGGCTACTACGTGGTAGCGCTGTCGACGCTGCTGTTATGCATTTTAATATCGCTCTATTTTGCCAACTTTCTGAAGGATGATGCGGTGAGTAGGCAATTGAAAATAATCCCACCCCACCCCGAATAATCCCACTCGAATGCCTTATCGAATGCGATACAGGAGCAGGAGGACGAAGGACTCGGCGCTGACGAGGTGCGCTTGGAAGACGATCCCGAGCTAAAGGCACAGATGCAGGCGCGACTGCAACGCGAAATCGATGACGATGAGGCCTATGAGGAGGAGCAGGAGCCGTTGAGCGACAGCGATACGGAACCGGGAGCAGCAAGGACACTCAATTATAGCAACCTGATGGGCAAATTCAAGGCCAAGCGCTATCAGCACAAGCTCGCCAAGAACTTGTCGCCCAGCCAAATAGAGGAGGAGCGACGCATCGAACGGGAACAGTTGACGGCCATATTTGACCTACTGCGGCGACAGGAGGACGAATTGAACCTCAAGGAGCGTATCAGCGAGACCGACTTGAAGCAGCAAGTGAAATTGTATCGTTAAACTGACTGCATGTGGAAGTAGAGAGAGGAGAGGAGTGACTACATTTCCAATCCTAACTAGAACGTGTGATTATCTCGCCGGGCATTTTCATCTGGTTGTAAGAATTGGGCGACTTCCTAAATGATTGATGATTGATGATGAACCGATTGATTGGTCAACGGCATTGTTTTGATTTCTGATCATGCCTGCATCTCAAATCCTCCTCGGAACAATCTGTCCGACAAGTGAACAATGTAGAAATTAATGGTAAATTTGTAAATTTGTTATCTGTTATATTTCAATACATTTTCAATCTGTACAATTGTTCGAATATGTTTGTAAACAATTTGAATAAATTATTGTAATGCATAACATTATTCTATATGCAATTTTAAGTACATGTTTAAACTAAAACTCTTCGTGTATCTGCTAAAATCGCCGATTCAATTGAATTCTAACTTGATTTTAGTACAAGCTAGATTTTAAAATAAAAAGAAAGTTGAAAATAAATCTTAGCAATCCATTTATTGCCACCCTTTCCAGCAGGAACTCAGCAACCCGAATATATCCATAGCAACCAAAAGTTTATTTAAATAACAGTTTCCACTTCGCATTCGAAGATTGCTGAGAATTTTATTCCGAACACACAAAAAAAAATAGAAGAAAAAATCATAAAACATAATGGTAAACTTTGTGTATCCCGAGGAGCTGTATTTGTTCGTGGAGAGCATTCGCTGTTTCCAAGTGCGCGAAGTGGGCAACAGCAAGTGGCTGGAGGTGCACGAGATGATCATCAAGCTGAGCCAGCAGGCGGCTCTCGAGGTGGCCGAGCATCGTGAGGAGGATGTCAAGGAGTTTCTCATCTCCCGGGACAAGCTCTCCGTGCTCGTAAGTGAGGCACTCTGTGTGAATCTGTGGAAGACAGGAGTGCTGCCCCATCTGCTGGAGATTGATCCGAATCCGCAGGCCACCTTTCTCATTTACACGGTGATGTACCATGAGGCAGCTGTGGTGGCTCTGTTGGATGTATGCCTCTACCATCCCAGTGGCTGTGAATCGATGCAGGATTCGGTGCTGGATTTGATCGACTACTGTGCCCAGGCCGTTGCCCAGGTCATTGGTTTGGTTGGCATGGGCTATCACGAGAACGAGACCAAGCTGGATGTGGACGAGGCCGTGCTCACCGAACTGGAGCGCCAGAAGCGTGATCTCATCTATAAGATTGGACTGCGCTGTATCTCCATACTGAGCTACTTGGCCGACAATGTGTCACTCTTCCACTTGGGTGCAGCTCGTCGCCTGGTTGTCACCCACGACATACCCTGGCTAATGGTCGATGTGCTCTGCTTTCGGCCATGGCAGCGCAATACCAGCAAAGGATTGCAGAAATTCATCGATGAGAAATGGACAAGCGTCGAGGATGCGGCAAAGATCTTAAAGACAGAAGCCCAAGCCTGGTTCTGTGTGCGCCAGCTGCTCCTCACTCAGCAGACACTCGACAACTATCCCCTGAACGAGGCGCGCTGCAAGCAATTATCCAAGGTAATAACGAATCCGAGATTTGAGGATTATTTACTTTTATGTACTTTTTATCCCAGTTGCTGGGAATGATGCACGAGACACTGTTGGACCAGTTGCCTGTGCTGATTGACCTGAAGCAGTTCATCAGTCGAATGACAATCGCTGGAAATGCGGGCAACAACAAGACTCCGAATCTAATCTTGGAGGATATACCCCAGATAAAGGACGAGCTCACCAAAGAGGTGGAACGCGAGGGGGGCTTCTACCATGTGGCACAGAGCCAGGATGCCATCTTCCTGAACAACAACCGGGAAGAGATTTGCGCACTGGCCACCAAATTGGCCAGCGCCTATGGCACGGATCTCTTGTGTGAACTGGAGCAAATCATGGCCGATTTGGATGTGCAGAAGCCAGAAATCAAAAAACCAGAACAAGAAAGCGCCGACGTCGATGCCGATGACCAGAAGGAGGAAAAGATCTACAAATGCGGCGCTTGCTACAAGGTGGCCAAAAAGAAATGCGGCAACTGCAAGGAGATGTACTATTGTTCACGGTAATATTTTGTTTGATGTTAAAACAACAAATTCGCGTATGTAACAAATTTCACATTTCGCGTTTGCAGCGAGTGCCAACTGAAGGATTGGCCCAGACACAAGGAGAGCTGCAATGATGTCAAGGTTGTCTAACTGCAATTCTTATTTTATAGCATTAAAGAACATTCCAAAAAATTAACGAACAGCTCGCTGCGTTTTTGGTTACATTTTCGTGTTTTTTTTTTTATTTAGCAATAAAAAATTTGCCAGGTAGTCTCTCATTCAGCAGACGGGGAGGAACGGCAACAACATGTTTAGCTGTTCTGTCTGAGATGGTCCTTAACTACATCCAATGCGGGCGTCTCCTCACCGAAGTCCTTGATGACGACCACAGAGCAGCCGCACACCTTGCGTGGCTTGCCCTCCTTGTCGATCTTGCACAGACCCGACCATTCACCCAATTTCTTGTGCGAATCGACGCGAATCAATGGAATCTGATGCTCATTGCACAGGGCAGTGATCAGTTTCTTGTAGTTGGGCTCATCAAAGGATTCAGCCAGAATGCACAGGACAGCTTGACGCCTAAAACAAAAGAAATGCAATTAGAAACGTAGGCATTTGTTTTTTGCAAATTTCATGGATTTGACAAAATTTTTAACTCAGTAATTGGAAGGTTTCTAATCAATATAAATTCATAAACACGGACCAATTAATTTCATCAGCGTGGAACAAAACAAAATAATTTATTTGAATTTTTTGCTTACTTGTCCAGAGCTTTGCAGGCTTGGTGGATGCCATGGACGAGGCCATCGGCGATCAGCGACTTCTTCAGCACTTCCTGCAGCGCGGTGTTTATGTCCATGGCGCCCCCAAGAACGGGCGCTGCGGACGGCACATCTCTACGGGGCGAGGGATTGGTTAAATAAATTATTTAAGAATTTCGTACGAATCATGACAGAGTTGCTAATTTGTATTGCATTTAACACTAGTTACTCAGTAATTGGAAGGTTTCTAATCAATGTAAAATTCATAAACACGGACCAATTAATCTCATCAATGAAAAAACTGTTTTGTTTAAAAATTGTTGAATGGATTTTAGTGGACTTACACATCAACGTCGGCCATATCTGTTAGGTTGAGGCTGCACTGCACTGCAAACGATAATTAGAAAACTATTATTAGCTATGATGTTGCTCATAATTGTGTATTAAATTCGTCGAAGCGGCTTCAGCGCAAAATTAATATGCTTTCGTACCTTTTTGACAACCGGAAAGAAAGAGAACCGTATTGCGTTGCGGCCAACTTCATGTCTAAGTTTTTCGATATTTCGATATCAGCTGTATGTCAGCAATGTCATACGAAAGCTAATTGTTATATGACCCGACATTAAATAGACGTTAAATAGACATTAAATATTACTCATATATTTGTGTTTAATAAAATATAAATGCTTATTTAAATATTTATATGTATTTATTGAACTTACTGAATTTATAATTTAAATATTTTCAATGCACGGTGGAAACGTTGCAATATAAAACTATCGTCAACTATATAATGAGGTAAATTTTAGTGCATTTTTTAGTGCCCGATTTTTGTGTCATTTTGCGCCCAAAATCTTTTGGGGCCAAGCAGCACCCGCAACTCACAAAACTAAGCTATAAATAGCTCGTAATAGGTCTAATTAAACTAAGTCATAGGTTAAACAGCAACACCAAGTCAATTCACCAGCTTCAGCCTTTGTCGCACAAGCATAGTGTTTATGTTTACATAAGCAGATAGCAAGCATCCAAGGCAACAACAACAATAACAAGAACAACAGCAGTAACAGCAATGACAACCAAACTACAGTAAGTTGTATGAATGGCAACCAACAAACATCTCGTCGTTTATTAATGTCCACGTGCTCCTCTTTCTTCGTGAATATAATTTTTCAAATTGACAGACGCATGTGAAAATCGTGGGCTAGTTGCGGGCTGTGTGTGTCGAGTGTTTGTGTTTGTGTGCGAGTGTGTGTGTGTGTTTGTCTTTTGTACTTTTGATCCACTCGGAATTACTTAGATGGTGGCATGAATGAACTGCCCAATTTTATTGTTGCTATTGGAATGCCAAGTGCTGATAAGAAACATTGCTGCCAATAAGCAACCACTCAGCGTAAACAAGCTCACTTAACAGTGGTCAAAAAAATTATGTTGCCTGGCTTACGATGCTATCGATGGTTGTTATCAGCTCTTGGATTAGATTATGAAAGCGCATTCACATATCAAGTATTATAAATGTTACTTATTGCATATTAAACAATTATTATAATTGGTCTATATTTATAGTATTCAGCATTTGTATCAGTATGTGCACAACATAACTGCAAGCACTGTTTGCCCTGTTGTGTTATTTTTGAGTTTAAGGGCTATCGCTGCGGTTCATCAGCAACTGATACTGATTAGCATTTCGCTGATGCTCGAGGCGCTTATGGTTTGTTAAGTGGGCGACAGACCCTCGAGCGGAGAAGATGTGCGACAGCCAGAGCAAATCGAGCAACGCCAGTTTGTGTGTATAAGGGAATCTGTAGATTGCCAGATTCTCGGCGCTAATCGTTTTGATTCTCGCTTTGATTGCAGAGAGGGCATCCTGGTGGGTTGCGGCAATCCACTGCTGGATATATCGGCACCGGTTCCTATGGAATTTCTGCAACGTTATGGAATGAAAGAGGACGATGCCATTCTGGCCGAGGATCGACACATGCCCATCTATCATGAGCTCGTCGATGGCTATCAGGCGGAATATTTGGCTGGTGGCTCCGTGCAGAATTCGTTTCGCATCGCCCAATGGATATTGGGACAGCCGAATGTGGCCGTCTTCTTTGGATGCGTAGGCAAGGATAGATATGCGGATATCTTGAGGCAGAAAGCACGCGAGGCCGGCGTCAATGCGCATTATCAGATCAGTGAAGAGACGCCCACTGGCACTTGTGCGGTCCTCATCACTGGCACTCATCGTTCACTGTGCGCCAATTTGGCGGCAGCCAACAGATTCACAATCGATCATTTGGAGCAGCCAGTCAACAAGTCGCTGATCGAAAATGCCCTCTACTACTATATATCGGTGAGTAAAATCTCTGGATGTGACTAGAATTTCTGGATGAGAGAGTAAGATGATATCGAGAGAGAGAGAGAGAGAGTAGAGAGTTGTTGAATTAATTGTTCTTTGATCTTTGCATGCAGGGCTTCTTCTTGACCGTTAATCCGCCCAGCATAATGCGAGTGGCCGCCACCGCCCATGCCAAGCAGCGACCGTTCCTAATGAACCTCAGCGCACCATTTATATCGCAATTATTCATGCAACCGCTGCTGGATGTTATGCCCTATGTGGATATCATATTCGGCAATGAGGCGGAGGCGAAGGCTTTTGCCACGGCACAAGGCTGGGCCGCCGATGAGGATCTGCGTGAGATTGGCAGGCGTCTGGTTGCACTGGACAAATTGAATTCAGCGCGACCACGCATTGCGATACTCACGCAGGGCTGTGATCCCGTGCTGCTCATCCAGCACGACGCTCCGGTCCAGGAGTTCCCAGTTACACGTTTGGCGGTGCATGAAATTGTGGATACCAATGGCGCTGGGGACGCATTCGTTGGCGGGTTCCTGTCGCAGTTTGTGCAGGGAAAGTCGCTAGATGTTTGCATACGCTGTGGTAACTATGCGGCCGGTCATATAATCAAGAATCCCGGTTGCACGTATAGCGGAGATCCGCACTTTGTTGATCAATAATCATCAAGGATGGAAACGCGGACACACACACACACACACACACACATCTGCATACATACACTACACTACAAAACACAACAGCCAGAAACCTTTAAAAGTCATTAAGCATTTGCAGTAACTGCAAATAAGTTCAAAGAATGACTAAGACAATTTTGTTAACACTAATAAATAATTAATTGTATATACACACGATCTACTCACTCACACACACACTTGCACACACACACTTTACACACAGTTGACAACGAACATGTGAGTGAGTTATGCACGGCCTTGCGGTTTACATACATACAAAGTTAGAGCAATATTCGAATTTAAATTGATAATAAAATATATAAATACAAAATTAACAAAAACAAAACTAACAAGCAAACACAATCTAAAAAGCTGCTTTCTTTTTTTCGTTACTTTTTTATTTGACGATGGAGAGTTGGCTGCGTTAATTTGACCTAGAAACGACCTCTTCCAAAATTTAATTGATAACAAGTCACATATTGGCAAATATTTATTTTTAAGCCCAGTTGTCATACTCCATTTATACTACTGCCATAAATTTACTTCCTCTTTGCTATGTAATATATATATATATTTGTCGACTTTTTTTGTTAATCCAGCAGATTAGATTAGCTGATTTTCTTTTACTATGCATAAATGTTTACATTTGTCACGCTACCTGATGACACAATTGAGTCATTGATGTTAACGTTAACAAAACAAATTTGCCTAGATAGCACTCAGGCAACAGAGAGCTGTTTTTATCTTTTAAGTTGTTCATCATTTACAACAAATTTTAGTCACTTTTCAACTAAATTAAAAGCGCAGATAATTAAAAGAAACGAAAAAAAAAACATTTTCAACATAAAGCAACTCAATTTATTAGATTTTTAAAATACTTTAAATCAAATGTGCAAATATTGACATTTTTAATGGTTGGCCATACAAAAGTCGAAAAGACTATGGAAAACCTAAAGCTAAATTTGTTTTTTAATTTCATTTGCATTTGTGTGGATGACATTTGTGATCCCAACCTGACCCCTACTCAATCAGATAGCCTTTGATGAAGGGCAGCCCCGTTGACACTCGCTTCTGATAGCGTACATAGTCGGACTGAAAGAAATTCAGGAGCGAGTACTCCTCAACGTATATGCGATCGTGAAAGAACAGCCAGCTGACTAGCGTATAAATGCAAATACACAGCGGATTCATCAGGACCACCTGTGTGCCAATGGACCAGTAGAACCAGCCCACATACGAAGGATGGCGGCTGTAAGCGTAAATGCCGCTGGTGATTAGCTTGTGGTCCGAATGCTTTTCATCCTGCACCTGTTCAAATTAATTGACAATAATTACGCATATGATACATACGTATTCATATATATATACCTGGACAGTAACATAGGTGTGAAGACCATAATTTGTACATTTTTTGAATATCATGTCCAAAACACAATATATTAATTTGTTTCCTTATGAAACTCGGACTCTTGCAGTTTGGTTCATTTCTTTGTTAAAAGTCTATATTGAGCTGGACAGTTATTTATAAAATTAAGAAAACTTTAATACCATTAATGATTTTGTGTGCAAGAGGTATTATTTGAATATATCACTACATCACTACAGGGATGAGTATAGAGGACAGAGCTTAAGCTCTAAGATCAAGGAAAAAATTAATAATTGCATAGCTTCTTTACAATGCTGCCTGGTCAGAAAAAAACTTTAAAATGTGCGTAGGATTCAAGGAAATACATCAGCAGTGTTATTGGCTAAAAGTGATCCTTTTAACTCACCAACTGCTCGATGGCGATTAGTGACTGCAGTTAGAACAGAAAATTTTAAGATGGGCATAAACTTCACATTGGTTCAATTGGATTGACACGGATCAGGGTGTGCAAAAACTGACACAACATTTTGTGGAATGATGAAAATCAGCCAGTTATTGTCTTCACATCTATTTTACTGTCCACATGTGTATATACGCACCAAATGCGTAAAGCTGCGACCTGCCGTAACGATGGCCACCTTGCGCACCACTTCGCCACCGGCGCACAACAGCACGCCTAGTAGCCAAACGTGGGCGTAACGCTTGAAATCTGGCAGAAAGTAGAGCTCTAGAATAAATTCCGTCCAACTGGCTGCCGCGGCCAGGCCATAGTGCACCGAATGATTTAGCATGAAGGAGTCCAAGGATAGGCTGCGTGGATTTGCCCACGCAATGACCAGAAACTCCGAGTAATGAAAGATGGACATAAAGCAGCCGTAAACGCCAAACTGCTGCCATTGTGAGGGTGCAAAACAAATGACTAGAACGCTCACAGCCATTGTAAAGCCAAGAAACGAGGCGCGTATGGCAACCTTGTAGATAAAACAAGCAATAAATTAAACAAAAAATTAATTGAAAGTGAAGTGAGTCATTCCCCACCTGATAATTGCTGTTCCTGAGCACAAACCGTATTATCATGTTGATTAAAGCATAGTAGAGCACCGGTCCCCACAGGATGGCCCCCCAAACATTTGGCACAATTCCATAATAGATCTGTGGAACTGAGGGCAGCAGCACCAGACTCGCTGTGGCCAGGAAACAATACAAACTGACGCGTCCCTCGGAGCAGAGTTTTGCATGGGCACCGGGTACTGCTGATGATGTTGCTGGCCGCGGATTGTTTGCGCACATTGTTAATAAATCACAGACCTTTTTGTGCGCTTTGTATCAGAAAACACATCGAACTTTTCTTTTTTTACAGCATTTGCAGAAACGTAAATAAAAATACTGCAAGACCGGCTGAAGGCGATGTGTACATACATTCCATAAGTTTATCCATCTACAAGATTACGCTTAGAAACACTCAATTGTACAATTGTTCTGGTCTACGTCACATTACATCAACCTATACATATATTTCACAAATATTATCATTTTTTATTTGTACTACCATTAAAAAATGACAATATTCGTGAAATATGCATAATTTCATCTTTCTAGTCACTATCCTTAACTCGAATTTTATAAAATATGGGCATATATGACATCATGTGCTCTGTTGATTTGGTGTGTGGGACATAACCTTCTAAAGTCTACTATCATCATCAGACCATAATATATATCGATAATTGCGTGTGAGATGTACAAACAGCCGATAGTCAGCTGCGCGTGCATAACAACAATTTCGATAGGCTGTGTTCTCTGCAGGTTATGTAAATTGCTAAATTGTTAATTAAAATTGTAAGAATTACTGTCCATATTGTTGAGTAAAGCTTGTTATGGTATTTCTAAACATACCACTGCTGGTTCGCGCTCGCGGTCCAGATGAATTCTGGCGCAAGCGACGCATTTTCAAGCTCGCTGCGGTAAGTGGCCCAAAAGCAATGCGTTGTTTTTCATTCATAACCCGGTTGATAATTGTATATTGTAGCATTATCGCAGTCGCACCCGCAATGTTTACTCTTTTGCCATACGCAGCGTGCATCGTGCGCTCGCATATGCCACCACGGGTCGCAAGCTCAAGAAACTGGACATGGCCCAGCTGTGGACGACACGTGTCGAAGCCGGTTGCCAGCAATATGGAGTCGCCCTAGACACATTCAAGGAGGGTCTCGCCCGCTCCGATATCCAGCTGAACAAGTTAGTTATGCGCCCTATTTATTGTTAAGTTAATTGAAGAATTTGTCCGTTATAGGAAAATGCTCTCGGATTTAGCAATTTGGGAGCCACGCTCATTTGAGGCCTTGGTGAATATTTCCCGGGAACGTGCTGCAGTCGAGGGCTTGCCGGACATCAAACGAAGATCGGCCTTTAATCAGGTGTACGGACTGAGTAATCTAAAGCTGGATTAGTTTAAGTGTTGTTTATTCAATTTACATTCATATATATGTATATATAGTTTTATATATTAACCAATGATGCTAGTTTTATTTTTGGGTCATGCAAACAATAACATTGCATTGAATTTTTATTGAATGGGCTTAACATACTAAATAGAAAACATAGAATTCATAGAATTGCTTGTTAGCCGCTTATTCCAATTTGGCCAAGATATCCGACTCGCGGAAAAGGAACATCTCCTTCTTATCATCGCTGTCTAATTGGACCTTGGTGCCACCGAATTCTGGCAGCAGAACGCGATCGCCCTCCTTGACGCCAATTGGAATATGACTGCCGGTGGTCTAAGAGAATATATATAATCTAAGGTATTGCAATCATCGGATATAATTATGAAATACTTACGACATTGCGGGTGCCGGGGCCAACGGCAATAACAGTGCCCTCCAGAACTTTGCCCACTGACTTTTCTGGCAAGACGATTCCGCCTTTCGTTTTGGTTAGCGCCTCAGCGCGTTGCACCAGAATGCGATCCAGCATGGGGATGATCCTCTTAATAGCAGCAGCCTGCACATATTTAAAATTATTAAAACAAGATTCACATGCTATCAGCGGTATTTGTTACCCCCACCACAATCAATGCCGGGGGCAGAGTTACACAACAGTTATCAGTTTTTGCGAAACTTCGAGAAGCTTATGTTAAATTATATTGAGCAACGCATGTTTTTGTTTTCTCTTAGGATGTGTTTTAACTTTAGCATGCACTTACCATTTTTATATATTTTTAAATGCAAACTGGGGCGTCTTTATGAGCTAAAACTTAATTGGTAATTGTATGTGAAGATTCACTACACGTGCGGACCGGTCGCAGTTGTTCGTAATAGTGATGCAATTACTTGCTTCGATGCGTTTTGCTATCGATATATCGCACTATCGGTAATAAACAATTTACTCGCCAATTTACTTGAAATTCAGCAGTTGCAAATTTTGTCGGACTCGCTAAGATAATTGTGGTATTTTCTTTTGATGTGAATTATTCCAACAAAATTGTCGAAAAAATTTAAAATAATGTATGACAGGTTTGAAAAATGGTCAGTTCCATACAAAATCACATAGAAGCCATGAATCAAAACAAATTAGACATTACTTCAGAGGGGTTTCTCAGGAACTTTAATTATATTTTATTTTATTATAAATTTTGAAACATTTCTGCCATAGGAAGAATCGGTCGAGTGGTAGCGTTACAGTAAAAATCTAAACATATTTCACGAAAAGCACAATAAGTATAAAAAAAGAAAGAATGGGTAACTTAGGCTTTCCAAAGATTATATACCCTTGCAGACCAGAGTTAATTTGCTGACATCTAAATTTTAATTTGGAGTTCGAAATATTATGTCTTAAACGAAGTGTATCGTTGTGAAAAATACAGATCATGTATATTAGTTATTCTTAAGGTTCACCTCTGCATAAAATATGTTTTTAACATTTTTCTAGTTTTTCAAGCATGGAAAATGTGTACATTTAATATAATATTCATAAGTTGATGTAGAGAATGTTTTCATGCTAATAAATGGTGACTAGTTAATTGTAGACGTTATTTTGTAAGACGCATCGATGCAGTCGAAGCCAGCTTTGCTAGTGGGTCCCATTTCCATGGCCACTTCATCGGAGTTGCTTTGTTTGTTAAACTCGCAACTGAATTTCCCAGACATCAGTTGCAAATCCCTACAAATATTTTCGTAGATTAGCGTGTCATGCAATTTATGTTGTAATATGGCTATCTTGCCCAAGTACTGCAGCTGACCCCTCGATAAGGGGCGTGCGGTAAAGTTGCGCACCGATTCGGTGACCTGAAAATAGTATGAAATAATAAGATTAGCATTTTGAGTGTAATATAACTCTTACACTTTTAATCTCATCACAGGTCAGCTCGGAAGGGTGCAGGTCAAAGGTAAGCGATATGGCCTCCTGCAACGTGCAATGACTTCGATCCTGTCGAGCCACGCACCAAGCCACAAAAGTATCGGAAATCCCATTGATTCTTAGCTTATGCTGATGCAACAGCAAATCACATATCCGATGGCTGTAGTGCATTATCTTCCGAGGACACTCTGCCTCTAGCAACTTGGACAGCTCTGAAAAAATCGCACCCATGGCTTTTAGATCAAAAACATAGGTGTTATTTGCCGTGGCAATAACAATGACCGATGCATTGCAATGCCGCCCATAAAAGAACGGCTCGATCAGCACTGAAATTATCATCTGGTCGCATATGTCGCTCAGAGCTTTATGATAGGATTGGTCCGTTTGCTGAATAAATATTATGCGCTTGAGTTTCTGGTCCAGCGACAACAACACATGGGGCTGAAGGGGGCAACTTCTTATGGGTTTCGTTTCCCATTCAGGTGCTGAAGCAAAAGACTTTTCACTTTCATTGTCGTCCTCAAAGCAATGGCCGTTCATTTCTGTACTCGTTGGTTGCGTTTTGAAAAACCTGCGTGAATAAATATGTAGTTAGTTTCTGATGTGCCATTGAATAAACAGAAATAATAAGCAATTTGAACTTTTAATGAAGTGGTAAAAGAATTGCTCCCTAAATTTTTGTATGTTCTAAAACCCTATATTAAAAAAAATAAAACGTTTACACCATTCACAAATTCACCAAATTAACTGCACAGATAAAATAGCGCGCTGGATCTATTCTTTTTTACGTGACATAATATAAATTTAGATCCTTATTAATGTAATATGTTTTTACAAAATGTTATTCTACACCATTTAATCCCCACAACAGCTGCTCGACGGTTGCCAAAATTTTGACCACCTTGTTTTTCAAGTGGCAACCGCGTGGAACGCTTATTATAAAATGAGGTGGCAGCACCGACAATAAGCGGCTTAAGAACTAAATAAATATTCGCAAGATAGGAAATACAGTGCTAATTTGTATACTAGAAATCATAACCGTTTAGAATTCTGAACAAATTGTTCAAAACGATTCAGTAAAACAGAGAGTAGACTTTTTTTTGCCGACAATCGCGATTATTAATTATGAATGCATAACTATCAAAAAACTACTTATGGATATGTTCATACTACATGTATGTATGCATACGAGTTTTTCTTTTGTACACCATGCCTGTACTGAAAAGATGTGAGTAATTATAAACCATGGAAAAACGAAAATGTTTGATCTGTGACGACTTTCGATTTAAATGCAAATCAATTGAATCCAAAATTATTGCGGACATTCCATGTTTCCTCACACATTGTAATGAGCGAGCGAATTATGACGCATGCACTGTGCAAAAAGGAGCGAAGAGGAGAGAAAATTTGTTCGTTTTGCTTTGCCCCCGTATTCTTCTGCTTTCAATTTCGATGTATATTATTTATGCGATTACTCCCGATTTCGTGCAGTGATCAACCAGACCAATCCACGTGCACTTTTAAAATGTTATTGCGAATGGTTGAAAGCAAAAAAAAGAAGAAATATGGGAAACAGAAGGGGAAATTGAGGAATGTAAAATTAGTGAAGAGATAACCCAAAAATTTTGACGTCACAGAAACTTGCGTCTGCATTATTCGATATGTCAGCATATGCAACCATTAAATTGATTAATTGATGGAATTATTTTCCAAGTGATGTTTGTAATATTTATACAAATACAAACCTTAGTTAAATGTGGTGAGAAATGGAAGTTAAGTAAAAAGAGAAATTAAGGTATGTATGTATGTGCATAAAATACCCACATATATACATTACATACATCTATAGATATGAATTTGAATATCAATCTGAATGGGAATTAGCTACTATTTCAAAGTGAAATCTTTTGAAAGAAGCATAAGTTCGGATATGTGTGTCATTATATCCATACACAAATATTTTTGTTTCACAGGTGCTGATATTGGCCAATTTGTTAAATGGCCTTTCGGTGCTGAGGCAAAATAACTTTTTGAATCCAGGCCAAGGGCTTCTGGCATAGGAATATGTCCATTTGGTGATTTCCTTGAGTGGCCCACCTAGATTTAGTAAAATGTTTTCATTTTCGATTGCTCTAATTGCAATTGACTTTGCCTTTGACAGAGCCAACAATGCTTTTCTCCGCACCCGTCTACCAAGCTATCATCTGGGATAATACTACTGCCATGGCATCCAGACAGTAAACGGGGGACAATCGCCTGCCAAAACAAGCTTAAATGAATTGCAACATAAATCAAATGCACATCTGTGTTGCTAGGCTTTTGATGCGGATTTCAGTTGACCGCATTTTAAGCTACGAATTTTTTAATAACAACACCTTCGACAGATTTCCTTGTTATTATCGCAAATGGTTTTGCAATCATGTTTTACATATATGCAATTGACATAATTACTTTCATTAAACATGTATATTGTGGCAACTTTAAGTGTCTTGTCTTATTATAAATCTAAGGAATTAATTTAGTTCTTTTTTTGTTGTGAATATAAACTAATCTCAGATTAGATTATTAAATGGTTTTAGAGGCTGCCATCCAATTTAAATGTAAATAATCCATATTTATTAAATAAATAAATAATTAAATAATAATAATGAGGCAGGTCACGACATCGCAAAGTCTATTGCCTAGTTCATGCTCTTGCTCAAGACTAAGCAATATAGGTAAGAATGCATTTGCTCAGCTGCAGCTGTCAAATATATTATTCTAGTTTAAGTGCCAAATTTGCATTTAAAAATATGTACACACACAAATGTAGCAGGTCTAAAGGGTTAAAAAAGCCCGATTTGATATCAGCGGTTTGCGCCACACGCGCGAGTATTTATAGGAGATTATTTAGTAATGAGATTAACATGAGAATAGGTATCGCGTGTTCCTTATTCTGTCTTGTTCAATAATATGTCAAAGTATTTTATGTATAATTTGGAAGGCTCTGCTATAAAAATTGTGGCTTTTATTGCTATGGGAAATCTATATTTGCGAAACCGAGACAGAATAAAATAAACTTTTTTTGCGCGGGCTATATGAGAACTTATATTTAAATTATATAATTTTCTAGCTGAGAATATTTTGTTCATATGGGCGGGCAGACGATCGGACAGTTTTTGATTTCCATCAAAAAGATTTATAATTTATGGGGTCTGAGAAGCTTATTTCTCCAATTACTCAACTTCAGCCTTCTTACTTTACTGGACTCTGATATTTTATGGAATCATTTGTTTGTATCGATTTGATGCCTCCTTTTGTTGTATGCTAATTGTACAGGTCATTTCCAAATCGGGCACAACTAACTAACATTCTTACTGGTTATCTGTGTATCTGCGGCTTAAGTACTTGTTTCATTGGTACATTTCATTTGTTCGGAAAATAATGTCAGAGCATAGAGACGTTTTTAACGACTGTCATTGAATTGGCCATATAAAATTAAAAATAATTAAAATTTATAATGTAATATTACAATCAATTCTGACTTTAGTTTAGTTTTGCTTCTCGTTGCGTTGTACATTGAATTCCGTGCCACACCTCAGATCCACACTGATTAAGAGATTTACAAACGCTAAGCGAGCTGCGAGGCGAAAAGGTTAATTGCTTTGTAAGGTAGCCTGATGAAAAAAAGTGAAGCTGACCACGCGGCAGGCAACGCTGACGCAGACTCAACTTAATTGGCGCACGAGGCGCATACTTAATGCGCTTAGATGCTGGCCAAGCTCATCACAGTTCCTCATTGCCATTGCCATTGCAAAAGCCGCTTTTGTGCTTCTAATTAGATCCAGCGGATGCAATTCGTCCTCGTCACCTTCTCCTTTCATCCAGCATAGAAAATTGTGCCGTGCAAAAGACGAATTTCGCTAAATGCGTTCGGTAAGTAAATTGAGTGTGCGAATCAGTTGGATTTGTTTTTAGTTTCTCTGGTTTTCATTGAAATCGCAATGCAGCAAATGGCAATCTATTTGCCAATTTCTGTATTTTTTTTCGTGCTTTTAAGACAAGTCAAGTGTGCTAATTGGCTCCAAAAACTTGTGTTGAAAGTAGTAACTATTATGTTCAAAATTTGCATTATAGAACCCTACCATAACCGTACGGTCTATTAAACGTTAATCCCATCAGCATAATAATTTCGATGGTGTCAAGGAAATGAGTGGATAAGCGATGTGAGAAAATTGTCCCGTCCCGTGGCTAAATGCAAATCGACTGTCTGACAAAATCACGAAATAAATTGACGATGTAATTAAGTATTCCGATTGTGCGACAAGCTACGTATTTGATTTTTGCAAATTTAATGCATAACTTAACCCAAACCCTTACCTACCAGGGTCAAATTCAGGGCAATCTTCGTGGTATGGCTGTGATTCGATGTCACAAGTTAAATCAACAATAACAAGCGAAAACAGCAACCAGAACAACCAGAACAACAACATTGATGATGACAACACGCGACGACAATAAAAACAAATAAGTCAAGAGTGCGCCAGATGCGTGGGCTCAACATTCAGATACCCTGTATCTAGTGCCTACATACGCAAAATCTGAGAAATTCTGGACTTACCGATGTATTACTTAATCGTTTCGCTGTATTTATAAAATTGACCTGAAAATCGTTTCTTTTCAATCAACAGTAATTTCTGCTTCCTTTTTAATAATACTAAATATTGTGTTTAAGTTTCTTATTTGAACTCGCTTGCATTTCTTATCTATAATACCAAAATTATTTCTTATTTATTTCTTCTTTCTGGGAATGTAATCTATTCTAACAGTCATATGATCTTTCTGTAATTCGTAAAATATTTTCGAGGATTGTAAAAAAGTAAAAGCCAAAAGAAATGTTTTATAAATTTTTCCGAAATTGGATTAATAAATTTTATATATAGTAACATAAATAAAACTATGCGTTATTATTTACTTTGTAATCTAAGACTGGATTTATTAAATTAACTACAATTTATTGAAAGTGAGAGTTAATTCATAAATTATTCGGAAATTCAGAAATTTTATTATTTATATATTTTTTAACTAATTGTATTTGAATATTTATAAGTTTTTAAATATAAAATGTTATGAACTTCGTTATGTAAGTCTGAATTTTGAGTGACCTTATGTCAAAATTCTCTTTTTGAATAGAAGACAAGTAAATAAAAAGGGTGTAATTCTTATTTTGTACATAAATTTATAAATGTATATTTTATTTAAAACTTGAAATTCCAGCATATTTAACTAATTTAACTGTTACAGGGTACAATAATATAAATGAACGGCTGATTGCGTTGGTGGTTTGTTACTTGTGCATGTAGAACATGAAAAGGGCTTTGCATGCTATGTGTATGTCGAGAGCAGCAACACAAACAAAACCAAAAGCAACATCTTCTAGCTGCGGCAGCAACAATAACAATAGCAACAACACCAACAACAACAACGTAACACTAATTACACTAATTGTGCACGGGAGGTGTAGAAACACTTCGAGAAACGATGACGACAAAACTCCAATTTGGACTTTGACTTTTGTCTTCTGCCGAAAACTTTTCTTACACCGTCCGAGATGGTTGCGTGACAGCCGAATAGTTTTCTTAATCAAATCAAGTCGTATGTAGAACAGACTAATATCTTGCCAAGTTGAACTGTCACAGGTTTAAAATAGATAGTTTCTTATCTTACATTTGTTGATGGACTATTTATGGGCATTGGGTATTGCTCTTCTAAATTTGCTTGTAATTCGATTGTTTTGCTGTCTGTTTAAACCATTTTTAATGCAGGTTGCATCACGATCTAAATCACGTGCTCAGCGCTGTTCGCCAGACTTGTTGTTGTGTTGGCGTTGCCATTAACGTCATCAGGTTGGAAGGCCGCAGCACGTTGGCATCGCGTGCTCAACGTGTGCCGACTGTTATTACGTATACGCCAGCGCGGCCAACTGTGTAGAAATAAAACATTAAATTACGTAGTTCGCCAGTTGGCCATTGTTTCCCTCTGAATCTCTCTTTCCGTAACTGCGATTCTAGCCTGATTCTGGCGACTGGGGCAGGTGTGGCACACACGTCGACCACGCACGTACCAGAAATTTTAAGTAATCAGACGAATAGCTGGGGAGCGAGTAGACATGCAGACAGACAGAGAGAGAAACAGTCAGCCTGAAAAATAGACAACAGTTTGGGGGGCTGCGCCGGCTTGCGGTTTTGCTCTGAAGTGGCCTTTAATAGTTTGCTGTCTGCAACTGCAGCAGAATGTGGCTTACATATGTATTTGTGTGGAATACGGCATGTGAAGTTATATTACTAACATTCAGATGCACATATATGTATGTATGTATGTATGTGTATGCGGCAAACCAAAGAGCAGTTTAATGAAATAGCAAAGAAAATTGTGGCTGTTACCATAGCAACATAAAGTGGCACTGCTGCAAAGCGAACTGAAATTGTAATTATACAACAATTGCTATGACTGCTAAGCAGCATGCCACATTTTAGATGACCACCAGCGGATTTATAATGCCCGCGTGGCCATACAGTATAAGATAGTCGCTGGAACGCTTATTTATAATCGATCTGGAATGTTTATGCATGTGTTGGCCATTTATGTATTTGATTCATATGTGGCTTATGTTAATAAGATGTTTATTGTTCAATCACTTTCTATTATTTAAATAGGTCTTTTACTAACTGCAGCTCAAGAGTTTTGATTTATTTTTTTACTCTTGTCGGGATTAATAATGTATCGGTGTACAACAAAAATGTAAAATACACTTGAAATATGAAGTCAGCAACAGACATATTTAAAATGTGGGTTGTATTTTGATGGCTTAACTGACCATTTTACATTTTAATATATATATATATATATATATATATATATATATATATATATATATTCTTAATATTATTATTTCATTCGTTTTTCATTTTCATATAAGTGTCCCATTTAAGTTTTTATTTATTTGATTTATTAACATCGTTACTTAAATTTGAAACATAATTAATTATTAACCTTTTTAATAGCTGTGAACACATAAAATAAATAAATAAAATAAAATGTTGTTTGTGTTTTGACTGCTTGAAATTTAATCGATAAGTTGAAAGTTATACTTTCAACTACCGTCAATGTATTCTGATGAAAATGCCACATATTCAAAATGAAAATAAAATAAATTAAATACATTTTACATTCGTTCGGGATATTTCTTTATTAATTACGATTTATCTGTCACATCTGTTAAAAGATGAATGAACATTTCCATTTATGCAAATATTTTAAATATTCTGATTTAAATCTGTAAAATTTGTGTACAGCTTCCAAGAATTTGTTATTAATTTAATGTTTGTATTCTATAAAATCAAGAAAAAATGTTTTTGTTGAGTGAGCTTGACTTGTATATTCTCTATTTATAGAGTAAATATAGATAATGATAGAAATTTGATTGCTGTATGATATATGAAAAATCGTGCTTAAATCTCTTGCGAATAGTCTCTAATATTAACCTTTATTTTGTCTTCCTGTTTTTAACAGAATAGGGTATAAAAATACATATATACACAGACAAGTCAATAATTTGTATCTCATAAAGTCAGCAAACGAATTGTGTTGCCTATTTTTAAAGGGGCAAAAGAGGGAGCCACTTTAATGAACTGGCAATATTTTACTTTTCGTCGCCTTAGGAAAATGTTTGCGGCTTAAATAAAGTGTGAACAGCTGCTACACAAGAAACCACAAAGCATCTCTTTAAGACTGTTTGGGCCCAAACAAACAACTTTAATGCAGCAATGCGAACCCGTCTCAATAAAACTAAATGAGTGTGTATGTGTTTGAGAGTTTGAGTGTGTGTATGTGTGTGTGAGGGGGAGAGGCGAAGCACAACAAGCTCAAACCAAGAATGCTACGAAAACAAATATTAACAATGCCAATAAACATAAGCAAAGCACATACTGAGAAAAGTACCAAGAAATAATCCACAAAATAATCATTATGACCATAAGGAGGCGACGTCTGTTTAGATCCAACCACAATGCTATGTAAAAACTGCAATTGCTATGAAAATAACAACAATAACAAGAATAGCAATAAAATGGACAAAACTGATAAATGTCCACATCCTTGGCCAAGCACTTTGGGTGTAATATACCGAGTCCCCGAGCCAAAGTATTTATCCAAACATCTGTGTACTCACATTAGTGCACCATACTTGAGATATTTTAGCATACACAGCAGAGGCATAATACACACACACACACACACACATACGTACGTACATTGACTCAAACAAACAAAAAACACTCACACAAAGCCCAATAGGATAATCGGCCAAGATTTAATGGTATTTTTACGTTAGCAAAAGGATTTTTAATTGCATACATGGATATTCCCTCACCCACGCCTCGAGTTATTTATGTGTGGACAGGTGTATCGCAAATTAGACAAGAATTAGCAGAGCCACAGGCGCTAAAGGATGCTGTAGTCGCTCCAACAATTGACGAAAGCTATGGGCATTCATACGTTGTGTTAATTAGTTTTATGTCCTTGAGGCTTGGACTTGTACACATAAAATAGCACACTGCACGTTGATTGATAGCGCTTGCACCAAAGAGATTGATTATAAGGTAGCTCCAAAATGCAAAGACAAGGTACGCAAAAAAAAATAACAAGTAACAGTGCTCTAGTTGAGAGAGCTCGACTCGGAGATACCCTGAAACCAGCTGTTTGTATTCTACAGCAACTTGATATTAGATCCCGGGTTTTAATTATTTATATACAACACACTTAACTTGAATCTTTATACATTTTATTGATTAAAACACAGGATCTAATATCCGATAGATAGTATTGAGATCAGCATCACAATACGAATTGGACTATAACTTGGGTGTTTTTTATTTTTTAACTTTGTTCAATCTTAAAATGTTCGCAGTTAATTAATAATGTGTCAACGTATATTACATATCAATTGAAAGACTTTACCTTTAAAATTATGGTTCTTATTGCTATCGAAAATCGATTTGTATCGATGTTTTTAAAGCAAAGAAAGTTATCGAACAAATAAAATAAACATGATGTTGAAGTCCGTAGTCTGTATAGTCTCTATTATCCGCTTGTTCATACAGACAGAAGCTATATCGACTCGACCCTTTTACTGTTAGATTCTTTTGTACAACTTCAGTACACCTTTTTTAAAAAAATGGTATAAGACCACAATCGAATACTTAGAATAGATTCCTGGTTTAAGTACAAAAACCTTCAACGAAAAATGTATTATTAGATTGAATCTTTTTACACTACAATTAATAAGTGTGATAAGCGATTTGAAAAATGTATACAATTTTGTTTAAGAATTACCACGTTGTAGTTAAAGGACTCGTTTAACTACATCTCAAAATTGTAGGTAAATTGAAGTAAATTATGTTCTTTATTCCTTGCTAATCATATCTCAATATGCTTCAAATTTCTATATAACTAATTTCATGCTATCTGAGTTTTAGTTTTGAAAGTACTTAAATCCTAGCAGACCCCATGTCGAGAGTTGTAGATTTACTTTGCTTCGTTTAAGAATACGTAAACAGTTTTCCAATTTCTGAATTGTCCATGCAGGTTGTGATTAGTCTTCTGGGATCTCCATTAAAACATTTTTTAAAAGTTGGTCGAAGAGAGCGGGAAATGAAACCGGAAAATAAAAGAGCGGAGGCAGTATTCATAAATCAAGAAGATACTCATTAATTCACATCTTGA